GGGTGACACGGTGTGGAGAGACCAGGAATTTTCAAGGCATCGTTGAAAACAGAGCTTCCACTAGCTCTACCCCATCCTATTTTGCAGGAATTTCCTATGCTTGTGTTTTACTGGAGGACCCGAGTAGGGGCAGAGGTGCTTGGACATCCTACCAGCATCCAGGCAGGAGATGCCTTGTCCTTCTCCAAGCCCTTTTCTGACCCCAGGTGTCCCCATCCACCTGGCCTAGGCAGAGATTTGAGGGGAGGTGGGGGACAATGAGCCCCATCTCCTCTTGGGACACCGACATTTTTGTTCTCATTGTGCACAAGGGACAGTGCCCCAGAATTCACTGTCACTTGGGCAGATAGCAGCAATATCTTGTCAGATACCCACTTTTCACTTAAAAAACAACCCTCAAGCAACCCAAGGAAATTCAAATAATAGCTGCCCTCCCAGGATGTGCAGCTTGGGCAGCCTGTCCTGCTCCACCAGTGCAGGGAAGAGGAGATCCAGGAATTCCAACACAGCAGAAGTGGGGTTCTGGCAGCCCCCACAGGTGGGGGCAGTGGGGACATGGCATGAACATCACACCCAGAAGCAGAATTTCAAGTCCCAGCATCTTGCCATGACAAACCCTTCCCTGCCTGGTCTCAGCATTACCTGGATGCCTGTGTGTTTATATACCAAATTTGTACCCTTTTGGCATGAAAATCCTGTTTTTTTCCTCTGCTCACCTGTGTGTGCAGGGAAGGGACCGTGCCCCACGGACAGGGGAACTGGGGGGTTGGGACAGGAAGTGCTGGCTTGGCTGGTAAACATTTGTGCTTCTTATGACCAGACAGCTTCTACATACTGAAATATTGTTCTTCTATAGCGACACTGAGCGGTTTTTGTCCCCTTTAGGGTTTTATTCACAATGGAGGCTGCTGCTATTTTTATTTTTTTGTATTTGATAATTATTTTTTATAAAAATCTATGAAAAATAAATAATCTTCTCATCCTCCATCTGTCCTGCCTCTTTGATTCACTCCAAAGGGGGCCAGGGAGGTGGTTTGGTCTGACATATTCCTCTCTTCCCAAATCAGAGACTCTCCCAGAACAGTCACAGCCCAACTGGAGATTTCCTTTGGGTTTTGGGGTGTGAGGGGACACTTAGCTCCAATGCCACCTCCTAATTCAAGGCTGCTACCCAGGCAGCCTTTTGCTGTGTCACCAGCTGCAAGAACACTTTGGCAGAAGGTCTTCTCCTGGTTATGCTACAAACTGGCCACTTTTTGTAATTAAGCCACTTAAAATGAGGGGAAATGTGTGTGTGTGTGTGTGTGTGTGTATGTTCACATCCCTGGCGATGGGGAGCAGAAGGTGGCCCACACTAGAGCCAGAGGACCATGTGGTATCCTGGCAAGAAAATTAAACCCCAAGACAATAAAGTTGCTTTTAGATTTTTTTGCTTTGGATTTTTTTTTTCATCGTTTTCTTCAGTGACCAGGTAAATTTTGTACCTATGGTCTGAGAAGCACCAAAAAGCCCTTGCCCTGTGTTCAAACCCCACTCTTCTTCCTCCAGCCATCTCTGATGCTCCTCATCAGTCTTTTCATCATGTCTGGTCTTTGCACAGGGACTCAGTCCCAGAGGAGGAACAGCATCTCCTGGTGACATCAAATGTCCTCTCTAGGGCAAAGCTCCCCAAATCACACACTCTGGAGAGGAGCCAACAGCAGCCCTTCCAAAACACACACACACACATTACCAAACCCTTCCTAAAAACCTACCAATGTGCTGCTGATGCACCCCTTGCAGTCCACTTCACCCTTTTTTGGGGTGCCTTTCTCCAAACCCCCGTGGATTGCAAGCCAGATGACCCCTGAGAAGATTTTGTGCTGAGATATTGACACAGCAGTTTAGGCTTGCAGCTGCACACCCTGCTGCCACACAGACCCTCTTCTCTTCCTCCTCCTCCTCCTCCTCCTCCTCCATCTCACTATATAGCCACAGCTTATTGTGCAATGAGATGGTGGTTAACTGCATGGAAAATAGCAGAAGGAAAGTATTGGGAGTATTTTTAGCTTATTTTCCTGCAATTTAGCACTGGGAAAAGAAAAAAAAAAATCAAGTTGTTCCATGAGACTTGATGAAGTCTGGTTTCCTATGGATTTGTGTGCTATAGTCCCTAAATCCCCCTCCTGTGTCCTCCCAAGTGTCCTGCCTGTCTGCCTGTCTGTCTGCCCAGGCTGTCCCTGGGTCTTCCACCCATCTGGCAGGGCAGGTGGCAATGCACACTGGGCTTGGCCAAGGGACCTGCCCTTGTAAGTCCTGATGGCCTGACCATTAGACACAACACAGCACTGTAAGTGGCTTTTGGCATCTTCTGCAGATCTCACCTCTGTCCAGGCACTGCTTTTCACATTCTTTGTGGGACATTAATACTCATGTTGCTGCTAGTCCTCTGTCAAAAGTCTGCCAGATGGACCAGGACATTGTCCAGGGGTGGTTAATCACCAGACAGCACCATCTCATCTACCTAATATACTAAAAGAATGGCTAAAAGGTGGGCAAATCACCTTATAGACAGAAAAAATGGCTTTTTTGGACTCTGCTTCCAAGTTCCCAGCCTCTGTGGAGGTTTGCAAATGAAGGGCTGAGAGACCCTTGCTGAGGACGTGTAAATGCAGTTTTTCCCCAAAGAAAGGGATGACTGGAGACATCTTTACCTTCCCACATCCAGCAGAGCAGGTGGGCAGGACAGGGCTCAGGACATGGCTCCATCTGTGTGTGCTGAGTGGTTTGGGACTTGGCTAACCCAGTGGACAGACAGGCTAATGCTAAACTTGTGTGAAGACTCACCCAAGTTCAAAGGCTGAGAGTGTTTCATCTGCAACCAAAGATGACATCAACTGGACCAAAACTATAAACAAACACTCTAGTTTGCCAGAGCCAGGGATTACTAACAGCTCCTTTTAATAGTCAGTTAAATTATCATCTGGAGTTTTACATAGTGGTACAATGATTTTTGTTGCTGTTGTTTAAAACCTTTTTTTTAAATTCTTTTTTTTTTTAAGTAATCCAGAAGGGTTTTGTATTTCTTGCCACATGGCTATCTCACCCTAAAGCACCCTACTTTCAATCTACAGTAGTAAAACGTCACATTAGAGGTTTAATAGAACATCAAGGAACATGAATTGTAGCCATCTTTGTAAAGAAAAGGACCAAACTGTCTTTATATGTTAAATAACTCCACGACAAGGAAAAGGTAGTAATGCTATTACAGGGGTACGGACGCAGCAAAGAAAAGTTAACGACCCAGAGGTTCATCTCAGGTGAATGATTGCTCATTAATTCAGAAATAAAACAAAAAGAAAGGGCAGGGGGGGTGAAGGAGGTTGCAGAAATGGTTGGAAAACAGTTCTCCTGTTGTTGGCAGCTTGGGAAGAATCAGGAGTCCAAGAGAGAAAATATTGTGCAGGCCCAACAGTAGGAGCCTGCAGCAGATGTGGGTGGTGTCAGCCCTGCAGGGAATCTCAGAGACACAGAATGGATTAGGTTGGAGGGGACCTTAATGAGCATTGGGTACCAACCCTGCTGCCGTGGACAGGGACACCTTCCACTAGACCAGGGCATGCTTATTTTGGGTGAGCAAGCCCCACACAGCACATCTCACCAAGGCCAGGTCTGCAGCCAAGGGACAGCCCCCATGGTGGACTGGTCTGGTACCCCATGGTGGCTGCTGGCATTTGTCTGAGAGGGACTTGTGTGGTAGCTGAGAGACTTGGACAAGAAAATCCAAGCTTGGGCAAGGTTCTGACTTGCAAAGCTAGAGTGAGGATACCAAGAAGGAAGCCTCACAAAGCCAGGGTCACTGTGAAAATGGCCCCACAGACGTGCCAGGCTGCCAGGCCCTGCCAGCACAGCAGCTGCAGGGGCACCAGGGCAGGCAAATCAGCAGAGCACAGCCCTGCCAGCAGCCTGCACAGTCTGTCACAGGGTGAGGGTGCTGAGCCACGTCCAGCTGTGCAAGGGTGCTGCCAAAGGACCCCAAAGGAGAGCTGGCTTCCCCCTCACTCTCCAAAGCCCAGCCCCTGGAGAAGCCAGGACCCGGGGAGCAGAGCCCAGCACAGCTGGCTGATGATGCTGCAGGGCTTTGGTTGCCCATGCAAGAGCTTTGAAGTGTCAGCACAGAAGCAGAACAGAAATATCTGCAGAGCCTCGGTGTAAATCTTGGGGCCAGATGAAAAAGTAACCTAGGCAGGTGTGAATGCATGGGGTGTGCAGGGTTTTCCTGGCAGTGTCACAGCGAGTGGCTGGCAGACAGCACTGCTCCTGTCCTTGCTGCTGCACCTAGTAAGCAATAAAAGAGAGGAGTCTGCTACCCAAAGGAAAACAGTCTGCATTTCACATAAAGGCCATGTACACGGTATTACTTGGCGAGAAACCAACTGGTGTCTGGGCCAGAGCAGCCTTCCTTCAAACATCCCTTCGAGGTGTTGAGCAGAGGTGCCCTTTGCCCATGGCTGGATGGCTGCCTGGCTGGAAGTTAAAAGTTGTCTCAGCATCTGCTGGGATAAGCAAAAGGATAAACAGAAGTGTCTTGGCCACGAGTCTCGCTAAAAGGAAAAGGAGTGATGACTCAGTACAGATCACCTGCCCATCTATACCTGTGCATGGAGGTGGCACTGGTCTCACTCTGAGCCCTAAGCCCTTGGCAGCATCAGGCACATCAAAATATAAGGACAAACACATAAGAAAAAGCCAAAAGGATCCAGGAGACTTCCTTCTTGCACAGAGCAAACGTTTGTCTGATCACCCCTGCCAGACACACAGTACAGCAGTGACACAGGGATGCCCAGGTCATACTGACTGATGGTGGCTGCTCCCAGCAGCTCCCCAGTCCAGGCCAGCTGCCCCTGGAGAGATGTCTGCCCATGAGAAGGAGAGAGCAAAGCACAGTGTGGTGCTGCAGGAAGACACTGAGCTGCTGTTGAGAGAATCCGGTGCTGCAGCGCTGTCGGCAGTGACGGGGTGCAGAGCGCAGCCGCCTCCCTCTCAGCACCACACAAATATTCAAGCCATGTCCTTGGCAGGTAGGAGGAGGAATGAGGCAGAAAATCATATGAGACAGGCTGAAGACTGTTCCTGCCAAGACTGAAAAAAATCAAAAAGGAAATTTCTCTCTGGAGGCATCGTAAAAATCCCACTGTAGGGCTCTGGTCTTGTCTAGATCAAAGGTGCACAGCTGGCAAGTCCAGAGGTGCCTCCTCTGCAAACCAGGCAGGAAGCTGAAGCTAAAAGGAACCTGTTTTCTGCCTCCAACATCATCAGCAGGGACAGGGATTTGGAGAATTGTTTACTCGGAACCAAACCCAGTGTCCCAGTACAACCCCAGCTCTCTAGCTTTAAAAAAAAAGTTACCAGAGGAAGAGGCAGATGTGAGCCCTGAACACAGGCAAGCAACACCCCCAGAAGCCTGTCCTCCATGCCCTTTCTGGGACCAGAACCTTCAGCACCATCCTGCACCACAGCATTGGGGTACCTTGCATCCCTCTCCCCTCACCACACAGAGCCTGGGCTATCCCACAGCTGCAAGTGTCTGGTGCAGAACATCTTGTCTGTGTCATCTGGCTGCTCCTCTCCTAGCTGAGTTCTCCTCAGCAGCAGCTTGATGTTGCTCCTAAGTTTTTATTATAGTGGGGAAAAAAAAATAATAGAAAGGATTTTAAGGTTGACTTCCAGGGAATGTGGTCCCTCAAGAAGAAAGCTCACAATGTCCAGCTGACTACTGGCCCTGAGGCCAAGCTGCTTTTGTTCTGGAGGACTCTGTATCTTGGAGCACATGTGGGTTTTGGCCATGGCAGAAGAACCTGAGGAGATGGGGTCACAATGCCCCTGCCTCTTCGCTCCAGCTGATGACACCACACCAGCTCTGCCCACCAACAGCACCATTGTTCTCTCAGGTCTCACCCAGACCTCATGATCTACAATTGCAAAAAACCCCATCCCAACCCTGCTGGCCTCCCAGTGGCTGATTAGCTCAGCCATAACCATAAGCATCTCAACTTGACCTGCATGCCCTGCCTCCATTTTTGCCTGCATCACCTGCTCTCCCATCCTGGCTGTGTCACCACTTTTCTCCCACGACTGGTGTGGCCCATCTTTGGAGACAGTCCCCACAGCCAGGGCAGGGATGGGGCAGGAGAAGAGGGCTGTGCCCTCCCAGCCTGCCTTCTCCACCAATGCTGAGGAACCTCTTGGCAAAATGAATAAAACAAAACCAAGAAAACTGGGTCCCACAAGACTTCTAACTAGAAAGGCTTTTGGCCAAGTTGAAGAAGAAACTAATACTGAGTCAGTCCTGCACAGAGCAGCCGGTTTTGCGCCCCAGTCCAAATCCTTGCCTCCAGAAACATCAGCGACACCCTCCCCCTCCATGGGTCCATGTGTGAAACCCTCAGAAACGCCCATGGGAAGGCCAGCCTGAGAGCAGGTGCCCAGAAGCCTCAGTAGTCCTTGTCACCATAGTCATTGTACAGGACACTCAGCGTCTGCTCCTCGCACGTCTTCCTGAGGTCGCGGCTGAGCTCCGACCAGTCGAGCCCATAGGGCTTGATCTCGCTGTAGCGGCAGGCCAGGTACTTGAGGGAGGAGCGCTGCAGGCTGATCTTGGGCTCCTGCAGGAGGCCATTGCACCAGCTGCTGAGGTCCCCCAGCTGCGAGAGGATGAGGCCAGCCTTCCTGCAGCGAGGGCGGGCGAGGGGAGATGCCAGGGGGGCGATGGACAGCGAGGGGTGGCAGGGGTGATGGAGACACCACAGAGAGGATGGTGGGGAGGGCGGGAGGAATGTATGAGGAGAGAAAAGTAAAGACAGTTAAGGACACCACGGGAGCTCCTGAAGGGAGAAGAGATAATGCAAGAGCAGCTGTGAGGAGCTGCCAGGACAAGGAGGGATGGCGGGGCTGTGGGGACACACCATTCCCAAGGCAGCACTGCAAGTCAAAGCCATGTGAGAACAGCCCCTACCCAGTGCAGAGATGCCCAGGTCTCCATGGCAGTGCTGCACCTGCTGCACTGGTCTTGGGACACACACCTCACTGTCCTGTCCCCTCTTCTTCTTCCACCCTGTAGCACTCACACAACAAGGCCAGGTTTGCTGAGAGTTTATTATGGAGACAGTCACAGGTGTAGCTGTGAAACCCCCAGCACCCTTTGCATGGACATCACCAAGGACTCAAGTGGCACCACCAGTCACTGTTGCAGCTACTGGACCCCAAATATAACAGGATGGGAAACAGAGCCAATAGCAGTGTAGGCAGTGGGGATAAAAGCTAAAAAGTGTCAGGCATGACATATATGGCCAGCCCAGAACAGTGTCACCATGTGTATCCTCTCCATTAAGTGTATGTGCTGCATATTCAGGAGCTATGCTGGCCATTCATGGCTTGGTGTAGGAATCACAGAATCACAGAATGGTTTGGTTGGAAGAGACCTTAAAGATCATTTTGTTCCACTCCCCTGTCCCATGGCAGGGACATCTTCCACTTGACCAGGTTGCTCCAAGTCCCAACCTGGCCTTGAACATTTCCAGGAATGGGGCATCCTCAACTTCTCCACTGCCAGAAATGCACACAGTATTGCAAGCAGCAAGCCAGGATACCACTGAGGAGGAGGGAGATTTAAGAAAAAAAAATCCAAACCAGAATGTCTTGTCTGGCTTGTGAGGGTCTGTATGGAAGGCTGAAGGTGAGATAAGAATTATGATCCATACAAGACATAAGTACAGTGAATGACATTCCTGCTACATGACTCACAATATTTAGGAACAGCTTAGGAAATGTGTCCTACAGGACACTGTGCAAACCAGAAGGGATACATTGGAGCACACATCAAACCCATCCAAAAAGCTCTGAGAGAGCTGGGGATGTGGCAGATCTCCTGGTTCTTTGCATGTGCACTTTGTATCTTCCAGTTGTGGAGAACAAGACGAGGAAAGGCAAGTCACTGCAGCAGCAGCTTGTAAAGAGCCACAACCCAGCCAAGGAAGCCTTGAGAGAAGGTCAGGTGACAGAGGCAGAGCAGGTCCAGGATGAATCCATCTTCTGCAAGAGACATCCAGCACACCCAGGGCATCATAGCCTCCGTGCAGGCTTGTCCTGGTAGTGAGGAAGTGCTAAATCACCAGCCTCTTGTATTGGCTGAGATATTGGAAGAGCACAGAGGATCATGGCCAAACATGATCTAAGCTGTGTTCTCTTCTTTTCAAATTTGTCCTCATAAAATTGCACTGCTAATGTTTTTATCAAGAAAATCAGTTTGTACAGATAAAACACATTGTGTTCATTTTAAATTTGTCTCACACTTTGGGTGATCTCCAGGGAATGTGGCCACTGTGGAGGCAATGGATTCAAATAAAGCATCTTGAAGGTATCTCATGTGCCTGGAAACCCAGACCAAAGTTTAAGTGTCTGATGAGCTGGGATAAGTTTCCTACCCAGCTCCAAGGTCAGTTGCTGGGTTAGAATAGTCGAGGAAAAGAAGATACAGCCCCTCACTAGCTTTAACTCAGCATCTGCTCAGCCCAGAACAGGCAGCAGTCACAAATCATGATTCTGAAGGAAAAAAATCACATTCTTACTGGACATTCTTACTTAGGATAAGCATTTTGGGCTGGTGTGACAGCTCCAGGATATGTGTACCAACCATGAAGGAACATCCACTGCCTCTCCACACCTCCCTCCAGGCCAGGCACACCATGGGAGAGCTGCTTGAAGAGGAATTAATTTACCCTAAGTCCAGTCAGAGCCAATCTTGGCTTTCCTGGAGAGAAAACCTTGGATGTGACTGCAGCTCCAAGGGCCCAGTCTGGAGCCACTGAAAGGTTGTCCAGCTCTGCAGCCACATGACAAGTGCCACCCCAGAGCTCATGTCCAGGGCATGCCAGAGAGGAAAAGGTGGTTTAAATGGTTTTGGCTCTGGAGACAGCCACCCAAGCTGGCCAGCCATGAGAAAACAGCCAAGCTCTCACTTGTCTTGGTCTCTGCATGTGACACCCAAGCAAGATGCCACGAGTGCCTCTCCTCCTCCAGGTACCCTCACAGGAATGCCTGATATTATCCCACAGATTTTGGCTCAAAGCCCATAGGCACCACCAGACTTCACTAGGCTTTGCATCAAATCCAACTTCCACTTACTGCTTGCTTTTTTCTCAATTTCCTTTCCTTATGCAAAGACCAGGACTCTCTGCAGCCCTTCTTGGACCGTGAGGGAGCGATTTGCCTTCGCAGCCTCAGACAAGTTATCTGTGCACTCACAACAAGTTCTGCTTCTTCAGTCCAGCAGCCAGCACTGCCAAGAAGGGAGCTGAGTGTGCCACAAATGAGCAGAGTAGGAGGTGCCCTGGACGTGTGGAGGAGGAGGGACATGGTAGAGTCAGTCGCGTGGGTCCGCATCCCCGACTTCAAAGGAGCATCAGCAACAGTCAAACAAACACTGTCTGCTGGCTAAATAATGTCATCTGCAAGTGATTTGTCCTGTCACCACCAGTCTGGGTGCTTCGCCCTCGCAGACGATCAAACAGGAGGTCTGCTTTCCAAGATTTGTCATCACCAGAGCCCGCTGCAGCTGCCTCAGTGCCTCTTTCCAAGGAGCGCGAGCTGCAAACACTTCATCAGCGACTTGCGTCATCCTACCCCGAGCGCTCCAGCGTTTCCAGAGGCTGCAGTTAACCCTCTGGCTCGTAGATTCACACAGAAAATGGTATCATTTGGGTAATTCAGTGGCATTTCTGGCTGCTCCGTGGCAATGCCTCTGCCTCATGGGGCTCGAGGAAGCAGCTTCCACGCCGTGTCCTGGCTGGTGCTCACTGGGGCAGGGAGCAGCAGTGGCAGCACTCAGCCTTGGTGATGGCAGCGGCTCCGTGACGACTCCAGTCTGTCACGTAAGGAATTTTATGTGTTCCTCATGCAAATCACCACAACAGATGTCAGATGGTCTGTGCAAACTGGGGCTGGATTTCACATCTGGAAATGGAGATGGAGCGGCATCACCACAGCTGGGATCAAGACAAAGGTGAGACTGAAGTCCAAGCCTGCTGATCCCACTGAGTGTCGGGGGAATGAGGCAACCCTGGGCAGAGGAGCTGCTGGGAGCCTCTGCCCTAAAAAGGCTCCATGTGCTGCAATGCTGCTACTGAGCTTTGAGGTTGTGCCTCAAAGAGTTCACATTTCTTAGGACATAAATAGGACAAGGGAGAAGAGAGGAGACCCCACCTCCACTCCAGGGCATGGAGGGCCTCCTGAGAGTTTTTAACCAAAGCTGTGCCAGGACACAAGTGCAATGCACTAAGTACAAGAAGGCACAAGCTGAGTCTCTCTGACTGCCTAGCAGAGGTTTGGAGGACACAGAATGTACATGGAGAATCTCCTATCCTCTGCTAGAAGTACACAAGTGATCACCTGGAGAAGCAGGGCTGGAAGACAGTGGTGAGACCGGCAAGAGGAGGGGTGGGGCACGGTGTAAGGCAGAGGCCATGAATTCCACAGAGTAGGAGCTCTTGTTGATGTACATTTGAAAGCACCCCTGATTCCCAGATGAGGTCACAGCTCTGGTTGTTTGGAGGCCAGATGCTATGAAACACCACTGCAGCACACGCAAGCTCTCAGCCCAGCCTGCTGAACTGACTGGAAATATCCACATTACTGGGAAACCACGCAGACTAAAGCAGATGTTGAAGGACAGGGGGAGAAGGGAACATCTGGCTATTTCTACAAGCCTGGGACATTCTCAGGCAGCTGGAGGGGCTTCAGCAACCTGGAGAAGCCTGAAGAGAAGACATGGTGCTTACTCAGGCACAAAGAGACTATTTTAGACAGGAACCTCCTCCAAAACCTGCTGTGGCAGCTCAGCACTGCCTGGGCACCAAAAACACTCATGTCACCCACACACAACCACAGATGTGGATCAAAAGTGAGGAAATGCACAATTTAGACCTAAAATCAGTCCTCTGCCTGCTGGGGACCACAAGCTGACAGGGTTCAGCACACAGAGGTACATTCAGCTCAAGCCAAAGCTCAGGAAAAGGTAGAAAGCAGAATCCAATCTCCATCCCTTGTAGGCGTGTTATTTTTCCAAGATCTTCTGCCTTTTTGCCTGTGGCATCAGCTATGAAGGGAAAAAGAGAATCCCACCCCTTTGCCACTCTGCACAGCATGAACATGTTGGGCCAGACTCCAGAGACAGGACAGGGCTGATGGGATGGACAGCAGGGTTGGGTTGACAACAGTCAACCACTTTCCACCTTGTCCTATGTTAGTGGTCCTTGCACATGCACAGCATCCAGCAAAACAGAAACCCCACTGTGACACTCTGAGGTCTATCATCCATCATCATATCCTAAGATTTGCTGAAGAGATGCCTTCCTGGTGACCAGAATCCCTGAGGGACAAGCCTGCTGGAGGGCAGGCCTGCCTGCTTAGCCAGCTCAGCTCCCAAGCCTACCTGGGCCCCAGCTCATCCTCACAGCGCCAGGTGAACTCCCCAAAGCTCTCGTAGTGCTGGTTGTAGTGGTAGAGGACTCGGTGGAGGCTGGGGGAGCCCAGGTCCAGCAGGGTGTTGTAGGCTGTCTGCTGCTCCTTGCCGCTCGTGTAGCCATTGAAGAGGTTGTAGATCTTGTCTGCTATTTCTGGGCACAAGGACAGGGGGTGTTCAGGGGGGTGCAAGGAAAGGCATGAATAAAGCCCACCACAGATAAAGCTCAGTTCTGGGGAAGCCAGGACCAGAACCAAGATTTGTCCACTGAGTTATTTTGTTATATTATGTGATTTACATCACATCAGGACAAGGTTCCAACAGACTAGATGGCATTACCTGGGCTCAGTCCAGGTTAGCTTCCCACAGTTTGGTCTAATTAATAAAATTAATGGGTGATGCCATCAGGTAGTGTTAGTGAAACACCATTTATTCCCTTTTGTTTTCAGAGAGGACGTGTGTCTCCTGCAGCCCCCGTCTCAGCCCTGCACACCGTGTGGCAGCTCCTGGGCCACTATGGGTGAGGGAGAGGTTACAGCCAGGACATGAGACATGTACAGGAACATGCTGGAAGGGGGAACTCCCTCTTGTCCCTAGCAGCTCCCTCCATCTCACCTTGAGCTTTCACATCATCTACCACAGGGCACGGTGTCTTGACCGTCACATCACTTGACCTGGAACGCCTTCCTGTGTTGTCAACTCCCCAGAGCGTGAACCTGGATGGGAAGGGGAAAAACGAAGCTCTGGGCTCCACACGGAAATACAGACAGCACCAAACAGGATCAGGATGTCAGCACTGCCACAGGCCTGGCACAGGGCACTCACATGTAGGTGGTGTCGGGCTCCAGGCAGCGGATGATGAGGGAGATGGTGGAGGAGAGTCTGTCAGGCACTTGGGCTGGCATGGCACAGGGGGACTTGGCACCAGAGATGATGTCATCCACAAAGCTCAGCACTGTCTCTAGGGAGAGAGGGGAGGATGTGCCACTGGTGATGGCACAGGGGCTGTGGAGAGCCTGTGCCTGCTGCCACACTGCCTGCTGCCAAGGGGGAACAAGGCTAAGGCATGAACTTGGTGTAAAGTTGGACCCACTGCTTTTCCAGAAAAGCTCATCCCTATGGTATGGAGCTGCCCCTTTCTGCAGCATGGTGGGCAGGAGAAGGGCTGCTCTCTCTTCCCCAGGATATTTGATTTGTTGCAGCATCCCCTTGCAAAGACAGACAGGCTCTCTTCTAACACGTCCATCCCACTCTCCCTGGAGAACCAGGGGAGTCCCCACTCACCTGTCTCCACCTTGGAGTGGTCCATTCTGTCAGTGACCTTCTCTTGACGGAGGAGGTAGTCCACAATCTGCACCCCAATGGGGGGCTCTGAGTGGCCCCACTCCAGTACCACCAGTGTGCTGCTGGGCTCATGTACAGTGGAGAGACGCAGGCTGGGGGACAGTTTTTGCATTACTTTCTCACAACAAAAGGGATTCAAAGCCATTAACTCACAGGAGACAGCAAACTCAGGAGAGAAATTACTCCCCCTCCCTTTCCCCTCCAGGTTCTGGGCATGTTGGTCCAAAGGACTCATTCCTTAGGGTTGCTTTACCAGGATGGATCCACAACCAGCCCCACAGTCCTCAGCTGAACTCAGAAAAGAACTGCAACTCTGCACTCTCAATTCCCAGGTCACCCATCAGTTTGCAAACCTGCCCCCCGAAGGCACACAGCCCCACCACCTCCTGCCACCACACTGCTGGCCATCACCACCTCTTCACAGACCCACACACCACAAAGCCAGGCTGGGCACCTACATGGGGTGTGGGAGAGGAGCACAGGTGGGCAGCCCGTCGGCCCCGAAGGCACTGGAGTCACAGCGGCACCAGTCCTCGATGACATCCCCGCTGCCCGAGCACCACAGCAAGCTCATGGTGGCCTCCTGCAGCAGCTGGGAGACAGGAGAAGGGGTTGAGCACTGGGCAGGTGAGCTCCCTGGGTGCAGGGCCCTGCTGGGAGCTGCCAGGCACAGCTCAGAGCAGGCCCCAGAGAAGAGAGGGGTAGAGAGGATGAGAGGGTAAGAGCTTAAAAGGGTAAGAGAGCAAAAGCGTAAGAGAGCAAAAGCATAAGAGAGTAAAAGGGGTAAGAGAGCGAAGTTTTTGTTACAATACAATAAATTTTCTTCTGTCTTGAATATTCTGATTCTTACTAATTTAGTACAATATACAAATCTTATAGCATTTACATACAACCTATAAGAATCATTACATTACCATACTGTGTTACATTTTAAACTCTAAAAACTACACTTTGGACCCTTTCTGCCAAGCTGTAGGGTCTGCTCTGACCTTTGGACTTGTCTGCAGGCAGAGGGTACTGTTTCATCAAAAGGGGATTACCTTCAGCTGGCTACACCATTGTTTACTCGTTGTTCAGTAACTGAGGTATCTGAAAGCTTGCTTTCATTTCAATCTCGCTTACAGTTTCCATATTCTCAAAATCTTTTGCCAGGCAATCATATTTATAAGGCTTTCCTGTTTCATCTTCCCCAACACTCCCATCCCACCACCACTTGTGTTCATCCGTCCCCTGGTGGGTTCAGCACAGCCCATCCACCCTGGAGAGCAGGGCTGGCCAAGGGGCAAGGGCTGCCAGGGCTGGACACGATGCTCTCTGGGCAAGCTGCCTCCAAAGCCAGCCACAGCGCTGTCCTGCCCCGCTCCTGTCCTCACCCGCTGGGTCTGGTTGTTGGTGACCAGCTCGTAGAGGGGGGCTGCCTTGGTGACCTCCAGCAGGATGGGCTCAGCTGGCACCTCGGGGCTGGAGGAGACGTGGCAGAGCGGGCAGGAGGAGGGGCAGCGCCCGCGGCTCTGGCACTCCATGCGCACGCCGGCCGCCACGCGCTTGGTGCCCGACTCCGAGAGGCTGGCGATGTACTCGGGGAACGTCAGCACCTTGGGGTCCCGTTCCCGCTCCTCTGACTCATCCGAGGGTGAGTTGCCTGCAGAAGGGGGGAAAAGCGACACCAGGGTGGGCTCCAAGCCATTGGTAGGGGAATATGAGGGGCCAGAGCTCTGCCTTCCACCCAGGAGAGAGGCAGTGCTTCCAAAGAGCCCCCTGCATCCCTTTGCTCTGTAGGGATTAGGATTAAGGATTAAGATGTGTAGGGATCTTTAGAGGAGGAATCAGGACTAAAAAGCCCACCCTGGCCTCTGTGATTGCAGGTCCTCTGTTCTCCCTGTGCCTCAGTTTCCCCAGCCCCATCCCTACAGCTGGACTGGGACAGTCCAGCCTTACAGCAGCTCCCCACGAGAGGGAGCCTCCTTCATGTGGCTGGAGGCTCCTGGAGAACCTGCCTGGGCACCTTCACGTCACACTGACTCCCCAACAAAACCCCTGCCAGACCACTCTCCTGCAAAAGCCCTCCTGGCCCTACAGAGCAGGAAATATTTTGGCACAAGAGGAGCAGTCCTTGCACAGAAGTCAAAAAGGTGAAATCTGCCCATCACTGCTGTGCCCTGGACAGCATCACCCTGCCATGGCGAGCCTTGCCATGAAGGGACACAGTGCTTTTCACACGAAATCCCTGCCAAAGGATGTCCCTGGATTGATACAGAAGAAAGAGGGGCCTAGAGGGACCGTTGAAGATGGTTGGTGGGGTTGGAGGAAGCTGAAGGATGACCCAGGCAAAACCTCACCCCCAGGGCAGGCTCAGGCCATCATTAGTGGTGACCTGGTATGTGGGGAGCCACCATGGATCACATCCATGATTCAATAGGAAAATCTCCCTATAGCAAGGATTTGTGGAGAAATGGGCCAGCACTAGCCCATCCTTGAGACTCCTGAAAGAAAACAAGGCTGTTAAAACAAAACCTGGGATAGAAAAGTGTTGCTCTGCTCCCCCAGGAAGCTGGAGATGGATCACTTTAGGCTGGCTGTGAATTGCAGCTTAGCAGGCACTGAGGAAAAGCAGAGGAGCCAGGGAATGATTTGTCTCTTGCAATTTCTCAATCGATATCCAGCCCCTGACGTTTGCAAACAAAAAGCAAAGGAAGGAAAGTGGCAGGTGCCAGAGTGAAACCTAAATGTGATACTGTGGGTGGAAAAAGGCTGCCAGCCCTGAAAAGCCTCTAAGCACGAAAATCAAAGAGGAGGAAATTGCAGGAGAAAAAAAGAAGAGCTTGCAATCAGGAGGTGCTACATCTGGAGACAGCCCTCAGCCAAACAGCACCGTGCCTGTGCTTCCCCAGGTGGGCTTGTGAAGAAGTCCAGGCTCCAGGAGACCTAAGCCCACAGGATGCAGACTCAGGCTTTGAAAGAAGCCCTTCCCACACAGGAGCCCTGGGGAGATAATAAGTGTCTCTGTGGCTGGGACATAGCAAGAGCAGCACCACAGACTGGTGCCAATACTGAGAATTATGAAGCCTCATGATGGAAATGATGTGTCCATTGTGGCGCCTGGGAGCTCCAAGCTCACACTGCCTGCACCTGGGAATTCCTGGGCAGCAGCAGCAAACCAAGGTCATCTAAAAGGCAGCAGCTCTGCTCAGCATCCCCCATGCCCAGGCTTGGGGGCTGGCTCTTGTTTGCTGCCCAAGCCTGGATGCTGCAACTCACCATCTCCAGCATAGGCAGGAAAATACCTACAGGCAGCTTTGCTGAGGCCAGCACAAGAGATCACAGAATTACAGAATCTGAGAATAGTTGGGAATGGGAGGGACAATAAAGACCATCTTGATCCAGCCTCCTGCCATGGGCAGGGACACCCTCCACTAGACAAGTTGCCACAGACCTGAGGACAGATGGCAGCAGGCAGGGGTTAGGCTGCCTCAGCTTTTGTGAAGCTGCCATTCAAAGTGGGCAGGACCTCTTCCACAGGGCATCCATCACTGTTCACTGCAGACAGGGCACTGGAGGGGATGCAGCAGTGCCAGAGGCCCTGTGCACCATGAGGAACCTCCCAGCCCCTAACTGGTTCCCTGGCATTAAAAGCATTCTCCCCAGGAGAAGGAAACACTCTGGAGGGAGAAAAGTCTGGCTGCAGGATGCAGGTGGAAGAGAGTAGATATGGCAGAGACAAAAGGAAGGAAATAAAAAGATTAAAGACAACAGTTAAGTCCAGAATGAGGCATGGTGGCTTGGTGGGATTGGTGCACTTGTCTTTCCCTGGGGCTGTGGGTATTGATCTTTTCTTTATGGCCTGGCCTGCTGCAATCCATGGGAATCCTTTGGCTGGCTTCAAAGGGTGTGAGAGCAGGGTGCGAGGCAATGACTGGTCCTAACACAGGCTGGGCACCTTCCAAAATGCCAAAAGCAAACCTCACTTGCCACCCCCAGGGGTTGGTATGAGTACCCTTCCCAAGGATAAGCTCCTACCTTTGCTGATGTCCTCATACTCCAGCCAGAGCTGCCGCTGGACCTGCCTGTTGGGATACCAGATGGAGCAGGACTCCTCAAAGCCATACACTGCCTCTTGGATGTAGTGGTTGCCAAACTGGTCCAGCAGCGCCACAAAATCTCCACGGGAGGTGGCTCCATCCAGAGAGTGGAGTGCATTGCTGAAGGCTGGCAGGAAGATAGATGGAGGAGATGCTCAGTGCCCAGAGCCCACCCAGCCCTCGCTACCCCCCTACAGGCTTGCAGTGGACAGCCAGCCTTTGAGCCCATCACCTCTCACAATCTCTGCTGGTCAGAGTGACTCTGAGATACGTTGTCCCAGCCTGGCAGCCAAAGATCAGGATTCTTCTGTTCTCATTCTCAAGGTTGTTTATTATCTATTATTTATAACATTCTTTCTCCGACCCACTGAGAGCTGCCTGGAAGGTTGGGCTGAAGCACACTGCCCATCCTTGGGGCAGTGTTATCTTTTATACTAAAAACTATGTGCACATTATTTACCATAACTATCATAGGTGATAGTACCTATCGCCTATGTTAGACAGTGAGTTTCTGCCTTAAACCAATCCAAAAGTGCCACCATCACCCAGAAGATGGAGGCTAGGAAGAAGAAGGAAAAAGGACAAGGCATGCCCAAATTCCTTCATCTTGGGACCCCAAGCCCCCATTCTAAAATCCTAAAAATCTATTTTTCACCCTGTGACAAACTAACTATTATTCTACTTAAACTCTCTTGACTTGTAATTCTTCATATCAAGGTTGGTAATTTGCTCCATGGGTCAAAATCAAAGGCACAGGGGTCTTGGGCTCTGTGCCAAGGTCTCTGAGCCCCCTGGGCAGGGTCTCAAGTCCTCCAGAGCAGCCAGAGGAATTCCCTGGGTTCCAACAATCACCTGCCAGCAGAAGGCTGTGTCACCTGTTGCCATCTTCTCTCCCCTAATTCCCCGTGTCCCTGCACACTTACATTGGGAGATGGTCATCTGGTTGAGCCGGACATGGTACATGACAGACTGCACCTTCCAGTGCTGCAGGAGGGGGTACCCAGACACCTCACTGAAGTTCACCATCCCTGCCAGAGAAAGGACACAGGGACTCAGTGCCACTGCTGAGCAATACCTCACCATGGGGATGGCTGCAGCCCTTCGTGCCTCGGGCAACACAGCCAGCAAGGTGGGAAGAAGTCAGCAAGAAGGGTTCTGTACACACCACATGCCCCCAGGGAGGCTTTCAGAGCTGAGGGCCAGGTGGTCCCCAGCAATTAAAATGATGGCTTTGAAGGAAAACACGTAGGCTTGTTTCATTTTGCTCTGCGCTGGAAGATAATGAGCCTCCTCCTGCACCCCCTCCTGCTTCCTTCCCAGTGCCCACTTCCAAGGCACGCCCAGGTGTGCTAATTATGTCACTAATGAGAGCTGTGCTATTTAATGAGCTGTTAGCAGGCCTGGGAATGGGTCACCTTCATGCCACATGTGCCCAAGGGTGACCAAGAGGCTCTGGGTCCCCCTCAGCTGGGACTGAGCTGAGTGGGCAGCAGATGGACGGGGAAATCACTTCCTATTGATGCTAATGTTCCTTCAGGACATTATGGCAATGCTGGGGCTGGAGAGGACCCAGAGTTTGTCCTTCTCCTTCAAAGACATCCCGTTCTTCAGCCGGTCAGCTGTGAGTTGCAGAAGCCAGGAATTCATGGAGACCTGGGCTGGGCGGCCACTTACTCCTGCCCAAGGCACAAGGCAGCTCAGCTTCTATGAGCAGAGGGACAGAGAGGCCACAGAGCCTCACACAAAGCCCCAGCAAGGGAACTGGAGGGTGCTCATGGCTCTGAATTTGGTGGCCAGAGCATCCCCAGAGTGCCACAGCAGGATGCTGGCACAGGCCACCTCTCCGCTCTCGGCTCCAGTGCTGCACAGCCAGCACGTCACAGCAAACTCTGCTGCCAACAGGCACCCAGCAGGAGTTCAGGAGGATAACAGTGGGCATCCCCCCTCTGTAACAAGGCCTGAAGACAGAGTATAAGCAGGATAAGATCCTTTGCCTTCCAGCACCTCTCTCTTCAGTGCTGGCTGCTGCCGACAGCTTCAAAGCCTTGCTCTTCCCTGCAAAGTGTTTATGCAAAAACAGCCCTTCCTTACTCAGCAGCTCTGCCTCTCGTGTATTCACAGCAATATCCAGGCTTCTGACAAGCAGAGAATATTTTACTTCTTTTCCTTTTTTTCCTCTTCTTTTTTTCCCTTTTAAATCAGCCACAAAGCCAGCAGAGAGTGGGAAATGAATAGCATCATTTACTGGCTTTTACCTCCCCAGCGAAATTGCCAGTAAAATCCCAGTCCCACTGACACCGCTGTGATGCTGAGGCTGTGGTGGCAGTGCCTTCCTTACATCCATGCAACCATGTCACAGGCAGGAGAGCCCCACTGGGAGGCAGGTGTCCTCCAGCACCTCCAGGCAGGATTGAGCATCCCCAGGGAAGCAGGAGTGACCCACCCATCCAACTCTCCTGGGGAAGCTCAGCCCCCCAAGACCCACCAGCACCCTCCTCCCTGCTGAACCTGCCTGCACCTTCACTGCCATGCACCCTGTCAGGGCAGCCAGCATCCCCCAGACCCTGGGTACAGTCCATGGGGGCTCCCCCAAATCCTCCTGGAAGCTCTGCCAGACAAAGGGAATGCACAAAGTCTCCTATGAGACAAAAACATCTTACTAGCCACATCCTGTGCTTAGCAGCTCCTCGATGTCAGGGCCATTTCAGCCAACAGTGCTGCAGTAAGGTAGAAAAATCATAGAGAAAGCTTCATAAAATCAAGCCTGCTCTCCTGGAATCAGTGACTGGCCTGTCAAGCTAGCACTTTGCAAGGTCCCATGTGAAAATGATCCTGTTGTGAGAAATTTGTTAACATAACAAAACTATTCCTGGGTTAAAAAATTACTTGCACCTGCATTAACTGTTTTTGCACCATTAGATAGAAAAATGAAAACTATCTTTAACAAACAACTGTCCCTGCACGTAGACACCAAGAGTTTGAGTGACCAATCAATACAGAATAACAACCTGTTACAAACCAATAAAGTAATTGACAAGAAAGCTACTGACCAACTGGAATCCCACACAAGGTCTGTAAAACTGTATAAAAAGGAGTTATGTGAATAAAAAATGGCTTTTTCCACCATGAAAAAATGGAATCCTGAGTGATAAACAGCAACAAACACCAAACACCAAGGAAATGAAGGCTACTTATGGGTACTGGCAACCTGAAAAAAAGGCAAATCCTTGAAGGCTGTCTAGGAACCCATGATAACGTATCACTCATTGCCCATGATGCTCTGGTATGACAAACCAAAACATTTTAGTTTGATGGTGCTGGATTTTGAATGCTTCACTGTATCAGCAAAGAAATCAAAGGTAGTTGGAAAACCTTTTTGGTCTTCAAAAAAAAAAAAAAAAAAAAGAAAAATCCTTTTATCCTTTTGCAAATGCCCCAAATAGTTAATGGATGTAATGGATGCTTGAGCTTTTACACTCCACAATTACTCCACAATTAATTTACAACCTTTGCCTTTCCTTAATTTTTAATGCCTTCCTCTTACTGGAAAAAGGAACCAGCTCTCAGCTGCTGGTTCCTTTGTGTGCAGCTAAAGCCAGAGTAGATCTATCCCCCAGTAGATATATCCTGTGGGTGGTTAGGGTGTGAGCTGGACATGCTGGCAGCTGCCTCAGTGGGAGAGACATGGATGCAGCTGGACTCACTCACCAGTGAGGAACTCAGGGTCAGGAGTGGGGTCAGAGAGCTCCTCTTGGCACTGGTTCTCCAAGGGCACTGTGGCCACCACCAGCCCATCAGGCAGCTGCTGCTCCAGGCCCCGGGCAACGTTGTTCTGCCTGGAAGGTAATTGCAGAGAGAAGAACAAGGCTGGAGGACAGCAGAAATGACTGCCAACAAGTGACCCACCCCAAAAATCCACCTGGCATTTCTCCTTTCCTTCAGGAACAGATTAAAAAGATGTCTACTCTTGATGGAAAGTGTCAGACCCACCCTCCCCACCAGCCCCTCCATCTTCTGCAAAGCAAAGCCAGCCATGGACGGACAGGCAGCCTGCCAAGGTCCAGCCCCAGGCGGCTTCCACGCCTTCCTCTTGGAGAGGATGCTGAGGTCTGACCCTGCTGGGGTCTGCAACTCACCTGAAGGTCCCTTTGAGCACCTGGCCCGGTGCCACCTCCCTGGTGTGGTTGTTGTAGCCGTAGAAGAGCTCCCCAAAGAGGGTCTGGTTCATGGGCAGCTCGCGGGGCTCGCCGCAGTCCCCGGCCTCGGGGCACGACTCCGAGATCAGCTGGCACGAGCGCCCATCCGCACCCAGCTTGTAGTCCTCAATGCACCTGGGGAGCCAGCACAGAGTCCCCTGTCAGCTGCAGCCCCCCAAACAGTGAGGACAGACACAAGAACAGAGGAGACCCCCTCCATCCCAACCCCACCAGCTCAGGGTGGCGGCAGCAATGGACAGCAGCGCTTTGGAGGTGTCGCCGTGGCCAGGGAGGAGATGAGCATGGGTCACTTCTCGGAATCTCTGCTGGTCAGAGCGACCCTGAGATGTGTTAGAAAGTTCTCTTTTCCCAGCCCAGCAGTCGAAGGAGTCAAAACCCTTCTATTATTGTTGTCAACGTTGTTTATTGTTTCTTATCTATGAAATTCTTTCTCCAACCCACCGAGGTCTGTCTGGCAGGTTGGGTTGAGGCACACTGCCCATCCTTGGGGCAGTGTTATCTTTTATGCTAAAAACTACTTGTACACTATTTACAATAACTTCCCAATACCTACCACCTATGTTAAACAGTGAGCTTCTACTCTAAACCAATCTAAAAATGCCAACATCACCCAGAAGATGGAGGCTAGGAAGAAGAAGGAAGAAGGACAGGGCACACCCAAATTCCTCCTCTTGGGACCCCAAGCCCCCATTCTAAAAACCTCAAAAATCTATTTTTCACCCTATGACAAACTATTATTCTACTTAAACTTTCTTGACTTGTAATTCTTCACATAAAGGTTGGTAATTGTTTTTTCCATGTGTCAAATTCAAAGGCACAGGGGCCTTGGGTTTTGTGACAAGGTCTCCGAGCCCGCTGTCAGGGTCTCGAGTGCCCCAGGGCAACCAGAGGAATCTCCTGGGTTCTGGCAGTCACTCACCCACAGAACATGAGGATGTTGTAGAGCAGGGGGTCCTCGGGCAGGGGCACCATCTGCTGCAGGCACAGCTGCTCGCAGCCCCCGTTGAAGCCGTCAGAGCAGTCCACGCCCACGTGCCGGTCGTAGCAGCCCGTGCCATCCTTCATGGGGCTCAGTCCCGTGGGGCACTGGTGGGGTGGGGGAAGCAGGAGGTGAAAACCCATGGGAAGGTATCTGTCTCTGAGGCTGAGGTGGAGGGCAGGGCTCCAGCATTGCTCTCTCCATCAGAAACTGCAGCCTGAGCAGCGCTCGGGGGCTGCAGGAAGGACAGCAGCATCATCCTCATCTGCAGATATTCCTCCTGCACCAAAGCCTCTATGCACCCTCAGGAGTGTATACCCTGAGGTGGGAGCCCCCCAAGCCATCCCCTACCAAGGCAATGTGCTGGTATCAATCCCACTCTCCAGCAACTCAGCTCCAGTGACTGACAAAGCTGTGCAGCCCTTTCCGCACACACTTTCTGCCCCACGCTCACAGCCTCTTCACCCCAATGCCCAGCTCTGGTGATACTGCAGCCCCACACAGTACCCCTGTTTTGGGGCAGAGCAGCTGTGGTGATGACAGGGCACACATTTGAGTGATCTGCAGCCTCCTACAGAGCCAACAAATAGATGGACTCTTACTGCCTCGTGTGCTCAGCAACAGAGGAGCTGCCAGCCCAAAAACATCTCCCTGCTACAAAATCAACCTCAAAATGTGCACCCCAAAGTGACAGTAAGGGAGGCAGGATTCCCTTTGTGGCCTGCCCTTCCTTGCTGACACCAAGGGGGATCCCAGGAGCCTGGGGTCACACACCACACAGCCCGTGGAGTCCAGCTTGCGGTCCGAGATGCAGCGGAAGTTCTTGCTGCAGCCGCCGTTGTCCCGGGAGCAGTCGCGCACGGGGCCGAAGGAGTCCAGCAGCACCTCCAGGCTGTCGAAGGAGGACGAGGTCATCAGCTCTTCCCTGTGAGGAGGAGGAGGAGGAGGAAGAGGAGGTGTGTCACTGCTCCCATGAGATGTTGTGGATGCCTGCATGACTGTGGCTGTTTGCGTGGGTTTTTCCAGAGCTCAGGCTTTCCTCGGGCTGATGGTGAGCTGGGTGGCAGCCAAGCTTTTAGAAGAATGCAGGAGCTCCTGAGATGAGGGGGAATACTGCCAAAGGCTCAGCTTTGCAGGGCTAAAGAGGGGCAGGTTCATGGTTGTACTAACCTCCACCTGCAAAACGTGGGATGGGGATGTTTGCTGAAGCCCCTCCTGAGCTCCCTGACCCTGCCATGGCACCTACCTGACCTCCACTGCATCTTCCATCACCGTCATGTCAGTCTTGCACTTGGCTGAGGGGTTGATGGCCAGCTCAGCTGGTGGGATGACGAAGCTCTTGCTCAGGGGCAGCCACATGCCCTCCCCCAAGGTGTAGGTGAACCTGCCAGGGAGAGCAGCAAAGGCTGGGACAGAGGGAAAAGCTGACCCTGGAAGGTTGTCTCTGCCCAAATCCAAGCCCTTGAGCCTCCCTGCTCATCCTGCAAGGATGCCAGCCCAAACTAAGGTGTGTGGGCAGGGGAAAGTAAGGTGGCTCCTCCAAATACAGCCAATGATTCCCAAAAGTTGCATGTTACTTTAAAAAAAGGCACTTCCATTTTCCATAGAAACCCTCCTTCAGAGCCTAAAACTCACTCTCACCACGGTCAGAGAGGAGGAACTGGCTGCTGGGTATCCAGCACCCACATGAAGCTGCAGGGGCATCTTCCCAGCCATGCTCACATGTCCCCAGAAGGTGGCACAGGACAGCTGTGCTCAGCCCTGCCAGCTGGGCTACCTACATGCCCTGAGTCATATTTGAGCCCCAAAATGTGCTGAGGACGTTTCCTTCACCGCTTACCGAAAAATCTTGTCAGAGGGCTGCTCACCCAGCACCAAGTCAAAGCCACGCTGGAAGATGGTGTATGGCCAGGGCCTGGAAAAGAAAACCAGGAGCATCACACCAGCATCATGTCCTCCCAGCTGCTCACAGCCCAAAATGCCTGCTCAGCCCTCAGCTCACATGCAGAAGGGTCCTGGGGTAGGATGACTCCAAGGGTAGCCAGGACAACACAACAAAACAGCCTCAGATCCAAGATCTTAATTTTGGGGTTCCTACAACATCAGATTCTCATGCCAGCTCCAACCTGCCAATAGGCCAGTGGTGTGTTGCACTTGTAATTTTGGGGTTGGATGCACTCCAGCCATGCTCACATATCTTCGTGCTCGGTACCACCTGCCTGGTCCTGTTTTAGGGATTTGCATCACAGCTATTGAATTGCAAAAAGAAAACCAAACCACAGCTGGACCCTCTCTCTGTGAGGCTTTTGCCAGGCAGCACATCAAGCCTGGGACCCCAGTTTCACCACCTGCCTTATTACCACCCTTTTAATCACTGTTCCAGGCAGGGGAGCTTTGCAAAGTGGGCTGGAAGACAAGGTGGAAGTGTGGAGCCAAGCAGGAGGCTGGAGAGCTGGCCCATCCCTGCTGTTGTAGATAGCACAGGGTGATGAGTGATGAGCCACTAACATTTGGAGGCTGGTGCCTTTCAGTGGGACACCCATGGCCATGACACCTTTGGGACATGAACCCCCAGCAGCACAGCCCTGCTGGCACACCACCACTTGCAGAGTGACACAGACAAGAGACCCCACTCCCAAACCCTAAAACTCCAAATCCCCTTTGCAAGAGCTCAGAGCTGGGGAGAGGAGATTTTCCATCCCATCGCATCACTGATGCTGAAATTCAGAGTCAAGAGCGTCAGGTGCCAGTGACAAGCCCAGGGATTTTCTCTCGAGGCAATTACAGCTCTCCTGTACAAGCAGTTTAATTTCTAATCTGAAGTTATTTCAGCAAGGACAAAAATAATAATAATAATACAAAAATCCTGCCTGCAGGATTACAGCATTCCTTTGCTGGGATACAATGCTGTTTTCCTGGCTGGTCAGCTGGGAGCTGGGGATTACATTCAGCCCACAATCGGATTGCCTTGAATGAGGTCAGCTTCATCCAGAAAGAGATGTGCTCCTTGTGTCTCACCAACACCTTGAATGCTTCACTCCCCCACCTTCCAGTGCTCCTGCAGATGGGTTTTATTCTTGCTTTTGAGGAGCACATCAGGCTGGGAACAAAGGCAGAGGCTGTATAGAAGCGAGGCATTGTTCCCCATCAATTCAGGTGGAAAAGTGGTTGTGGAGAGCTGCTCTTGGCTTGCAGCAGAGCTCAGTGCTGGGGCAGGTGCTGCAGATGCACAGGGACTGCCAGACCTCTGCCTGGTGGCACATGTGGGCACACCCAGGACATGGAGCCAGTGTATTTGGACCCACCTGGGAGATTGAAATCAGCACCCAAGCCATGTTGTGTCCACCCAGGACGCAATTTCCAAATGTGGCTAAAATTCCTGTAATCACAGAGTCCCAGAATGGGCAGAGGGTTCAAAGGGACTTTAGAGATCATCTCATTCTACCCCTCTTCCACTACACCAGGTTGCTCCAAGCTCCATCCAGCCTGGCCTTGAATACTTCCAGGGATGGGGCAGCCACAGCTTCTCTGGGCAACCTGTGCCAGAGCCTCCCCACCCTCATAGTGAAGAATTTCATCCTAATATCTAATCAAACCTGCCCTCTGTAGTTTGAACCCATTACCCCTGCTCCTAATGCTCCATGCCCTTGCAAAAAGTGGTGATGGCTGTGATGCAGGGAAGGGGTTTCTGTGCTCCAGGAAGGGGGATGTGTGGCATCTCCTCAGCCTGCCACACTTTTCCCTTACTTGGGGTCAAAACAAGTCCCTTAAATGCAATGTTCAGCCTTTAGCTACATCCCTTCATGGCAAGGGAGAGTCAGGGTTGCATGGCCTCCAGAGCTCACAAAGGAAATCGGGAATGACCAGCAGCTCTGCAGCTGATCAGGTTGGATTAAGTGGGCCAGGAATGACAGCTCTCAGCTTCTTGCAAGCCTTGGCACTCAGGTGGGCATTGAAACAACAAAATGGGGAATCACCAGGGCACAAATTCCCCACACTCAGCCAGCAAGTTCCCAGGGCCAGAGTGCTGCCAGTGGATCCCCAGGACAACCTTAAGCCTTTCAGCTTTTCTAGAGGGACCATTACCATTACCTGGATGATTTGCTCCACATCTGGGCTTGAGTGGAAGCTCACAAAACACCTGCTAAGCCCTCCAAACCTGGAGCTGCTGGAGATGCTTTGAACCTGCTCAACAGGGCCCTGGCCATGCTTAAATTGCAGCCCCGGGGGGAGGAGGCCAGACTGACCTGTAGCATCAAGAGCTGTGCTCCAGCTTGTCCCCACTGCCTGAAAAACTCTTCCACACAAGATGGGTGGAGTGAGGAATAATCCCAGAGCTGGCAGGATGTGATCACCCACCATGAGCTAACCTGGAGCAGCTGGAGCTGGCAAGAGGCTGGAGGGGCTGCAGGAGAAAGTTCAAGAAGCTGCTGCAGGGGAATGTGACTGAAATGTCACTGGAGGAGAAAGTGGTTGTTACACACTGCAATAGGTGACTTCACACCTGGTTCCCTGACCTCCTGTGCTTTTCAGGGTTTCCAACCAGTGCACAGCACAAGGGTGGCCATGCCAGGGTGAGGAGACCAGAGCACCCCTGATGCACCCAGGACCCCAAAGTGGGGACCCATGCAGACCCAGAACCATCCTGAGAGGAACAAAGGATTTGTCTTTACAAACAATATATAGTTTGTAATATATAAACGATAGTGGATTTGTCTTTACAAACAAGCTGTGGGTCTGCTGGGAGATAAAACCAGCCCTGGGAGAGAAAAGAGACGATGGGAAGGATTCCACTGATTGATGAGAAAATATATTTGCTTTTACAAATAAACTTTAGGTTTGCTGATAAATGAAATTAGACATTGAAAGATGAAAGAAACAATGGAGAAGAAAAACCCCTAAATTCCATAAGAATTAAAAATGAAAAGGGAGGGTTATACATGAGAGGGAAATTTTTGGTATCAGGTGTATCAGGAAGTCTGAACCTCTCAGGTACCTCAGTCAATGGGGCAAGAGAGAAGGGAAATGTGGCTGGGAAATTGGGATAAAAAGGGAGGCTGCATCTTCCAAAAATTTGAGAGATCCCAGAGGAATGCCCCATGGCCTCTCCCTTTACTCCAATAAAGCCAGAAAGGACTGAAAGGACTCCTCTGTCTCCTTTTTGGACACAAACCTCTGATGTTTGTGGGTTAATTTTCCTAACAACCCTGATGTCGGAAGAGCAGAGAGCAGATGCCACCCGACACCGAGTGACATTTCCAATCAGCAGTGCCCAGGGCAGCTCCTCCCCAGCTCCCCTTTGCCAGGCACCAGCTCTGCCCGGGTTTCAGCTGCCGACCCTCTCCCCTCCCGCCCTGCCAGCCCCTGCCAGCAGCTCTTTATTAAAAATGCAAATGCCGGCACTTTCTCCCGGGCTGCCCGTAAATCTGCCAGGGGAATGGGGCGGGAGGAGGAGACGGATGGGTGGCTTGGTGAAAGGATCTGAAAGAACCAGGAGCTTTTTACAAGGCTGTCCTTCAGCTTGCAGAGCAGAGGCACGCAGCAGGTGATGGAGAGAGGCAAGGGGAAAAAAGAAATAGAAAAAGGGGTGTGGGGAGAAGAAGAGAGAGAAAAATGAAGACTTCAAGCAGGAAAAGTGCTGTACTTGTCAATTCAGTGTGTCCCTCGCTCTTCTGTGGGATGGGGATGGGAAAAGAGGAGCAGGGGCACTGTCAGGATGGGGATGGGATAAGAGGAGCAGGGGCACTGTCAGGATGGGGATGGGAAAAGAGGAGCAGGGGCACTGTCAGGATGGGGATGGGAAAAGAGGAGCAGGGGCACTGTCAGGATGGGGATATGGTGTGGGGAAGGGAAGGGAAGGGAAGGGAAGGGAAGGGAAGGGAAGGGAAGGGAAGGGAAGGGAAGGGAAGGGAAGGGAAGGGAAGGGAAGGGAAGGGAAGGGAAGGGAAGGGAAGGGAAGGGAAGGGAAGGGAAGGGAAGGGAAGGGAAGGGAAGGGAAGGGAAGGGAAGGGAAGGGAAGGGAAGGGAAGGGAAGGGAGTGAGCAGGGCACAGGCTGATGCACTAATCATCCTGTGCTGGGAAAAACATCAGCAAGGCTGCGGGTGGGGCAGCAAGGCTGGGGTGGGACAGTTTCCCAATAGTCACAGCAGGATGAGAGCAGCCAGCCTGGCATGCTCACCATATCACCCTAAACTGCCTTCAAACCTCCCCAGGCCACGGTGAAGCCCATTACAAGTTGAAAGAGGACATTGAAAAAGACTCCTTCAATGCAGAGCACCTCAAATCCCAACGGGGGAGGCTGAAAAGGGCACCGTGGGGAGGGCAAAGCCACGTGTGAGATGGATCTAAGGGCTGGGATGAAAAAGTACGGATGCAGGCAGGTAACAGTTTATTAACTAAAGCCAGAATGTGCTGATTTGATTTTTGGCCACGTTTTACCACAAAAAGAATGGCAGAAATTTGGTCTGAGCAAAGATGAAGCGTGGCTGGTAGGATTGCTAGGAACAGCATCCTGCTCAGGGAACATGAGAGTAAGAGTCGAAAAGCAGCTAATTAACAATGCATATCAAAGCAGGGAGACAGACTGTGAGCACACAAACAGCACCAGACAGATTTGTTTAAAACAGGCAAAGAGCAGCACACACACACCAAAAAAAAAAAGCAAAGAAAAAAAAAAAAGCAGCTGATCAAATGTATCTGCTATCCATGATCAAAAAGATCTGAGTTTTTGAAAAACTGAAAATTTAGGGTCTGGACACGTTGGGTAAAAGATGCAGTGTGGAGGCGTGGATCTCAGTCTGGTACCCAAAATACACCCAGCACAAAAAGCTTCTCACTGCCATCACCAATAAAGTACAAAGATGAGCTCGCCTTCATGAGCAAAATTAGATGCTACTGAGTGAACAGACACCGAGGCAACTTGTCCTCACTGTAAATAAAAATGAACCAGCGGCAAAACTATCTAAACCAAAGGGTTGAAATGAGTTTCCAGATAAAAAGGCCACCCAGGGAAAACAGAGGAGGTCAGATGCAGAACACATCACTCCCAGGTTTGCCAAGGGATTTAGCAAATCCTGCTTTGTTGACCAAGGGCCAGTGTGGTTTCTCTGGGGACTGACCTGTGGCAGCAGAACATCGCTCCAATATTGCAGGGTTCAGAGCATATTGGACAAACAGCAGTCAGAAATGTTTCAGGCACAGCTGATCTCACCTTGAGATGGGGGGAGAGAGCAGAAGATTTGCAGACATCTCTTTCAGGTGAGCCTGGGACTGGGAGTGAGCTGATGAGCCCAACAAAACAGCACAGCACTCAACCTCCACCCCAAAAAACATAAATAGCAGCTTACAGCTACAAGTTATCCAGGTAAACAGGCTCTGACAGGATGGTTCTCCTAGGCTAAAGAGATTTCATCACAGCCATGACCTTGTGGAGGCCAAAAGTTCATGCAAAAGGGACCTCCACCATCACAAGCCCTTCCAGGCAGAGCTGCACTAAGCAGCACCTGGACATCAGGAACAGATAGCAGAAAAGGAAAAAAAAAAACTCATTAAACACCAAGCTGCTCTCAGCATCACCATGCTTAGTGTGAACATGCTTTCAAGAGCCCCTAAAAATAGTGGAAGCTGCAGGTAGGGATGGTCAAGTGTGGTTTCAGCTGCTACCATTTTATGAAACAAAAATCTGACAGGTTCCATGAAGAAACACAGAACAACCCCAAGTTTCAAGAGGCTTGAGAGAGTTTTCTAAGGATGGTGACAGCTGCAGCACTGGAGCCTTCTCGAGAGCCCAGAGAAGGGCAGAGGACTTTGACAGCCCCACCATGGTCTAGGGCTGTGCTGCACCCTGGGGAGAAAGAGAACTGCCAGGTTTCTCTGCCTCAAACAGAAAAATATTCTGAAAATGCTGCACATAATTTGTCATAGCCAACTCTGGTACAGAAGAAGAAACACAAGACAAGAGGTACCCTGGAAAGCTATGGATCCTGTTTCAGCAGAGAAAAGGCTCCTGTGGGAGCCTCAGGTGGAGATAGGTCTAAAAAAGCAGCCCCAAATGCCCCAGAGGAGCAGGGCAGGTCCTGAGCACCTTTCAGGTGGGCATTGCTGACACCAAAGCTGGGTCAGGGGATGCAAACAGGTCCAGGGGCTTTAGGAATGTATTGGTCCTTCTTGCCCTTGGCTTCTCTCCTGCTTGTTACCATCTCTATTTTTCCCAATTTACCTGAAAGCAGCATCTTTTTCTCCACTTTGCCTTCAGAAAGTGAAGCAGCTAAATCAGGAAAAAGCTGGAGAAGAGCAGTGTGCATGGAAGAAGAGTGTGAAGCTGCAGACCCACGCTCAGGAGCAAAGGAAAAGCAGAGGGTCAGGAAGCAAATGTTTCTCCACAGTGCTTATCCATTTTTGTTACTACCCTCCATGGACAAAGTTATTTGCCAATTTGCTTTTTGCAAGGTGTTGGGCTCAACACACCAAAACCATATGTGGCTATGAGTGGCTGTGGGCTCTTTCCAGCCCACTGTGAGACACTCCTAAACACAGCACCTCCCAAAACAGGCAGGGGAACAGCCCCCCACACACCCCAGCCCATAACTCAATGCATCTTATGAGATGGCACAGAGGAGCTGGGACATTCCTCTTGGACACTGGTCCCTGGGGACACACAGCACAGGGAGCTGTGTTTCTGCCTGCATTCTCCTGCCCCAGCAGTGGCACCTCACAGAGGTTTGGGGACCATCACCACACCCCATAGCACATCCCCAGCCTGGGGCCACCTGCACCACGAGCACGGCCCTGGCTCAGGGCACCCAGAGCAACAGCTTGTGTAACACAGCTGGTGCTAAATTGCCTTTAAAATGATAAAAAGCAGCGAGGGGGCTGGAGAAGGAGCAGCAGTGCTCTCCCCAGGGCCCCAGTTCAAAGGGACACAGCAGGGCTGTGCCAGCAGTGACAGCCCGCACTGCTGCCAGCCCCCAGCACAGTGACACGGCAGGGGGGACACCAAGCCCAGCCTTTGATGATTTTTCTCTTCCCACTGTGAACATTAATAACTTCAGAGAGGGCATCCTCACACGTGCAGGGCCACCACTGATCCAGCTGCAGCATAATGAGAAAAGGGGGGGGGGGGGGAAAAGGGTTTGGTGGGAGCTCTGAATTTGGAGATGTCTTGGCTTTGTGCACACCACCTCCAGCCATTCCTGGGAGCTGCGTGTCACAGACCCACGAGTGCTGAGGGACAGATGGAGCACCCCCTTGAGGGTCACAGAGAGGTGGGAACTTTTGGAATCCACCACTGAATCGCTGCTGAAACATCAGAAAAAATTCCTTTACCACCTCCAGGTGTGTAAAGCTTGGAGCAGATGGTGACTCCTCTGTTCCCTCAAGCACACTATCAAAGCATTTAATTTCCCCAGTTTTCACTGGGGACCTCAGCCCGACCTCAGCCCTCCTCTGATGCCTCACACACCCAAAAAGAAAGCCCCACAAAGTGCAGGATGCCCAGGATAGTGCACACAAGGTGGGAGGAACAACCTCGATCTCCTCCAGGGGGTGTTGGCTCTGAAATGTGACAATGGCCTCTTGTACATCATTCCTGATTATTTCAAAGAACAGAAATCCTTGCCTCCTGCAGACCTGCTGCAGAGCCCAGCTGTGGGCTGACCTTACAATTCACCGAGGTGCCTCTAAGAATTTACCACAGTTCTGCCATCCAAGAAGTCACCACAGCTGTGCTGAGGGGCTGTGGAAGCCCAGCAGCTCCTGTGAGGACACTCCAAGGCTGGGCACTCACCCCTGGTTCGTTCCCCACTCGTTCCTGATGCAGAGGTGCTTGTGCACAGGGTCCTTCATGTAACCTTCATAGCAGAGACATTCCCCTGTGGAGACAGGGACATCAGGGGCACGGCAGGACACTCATGGGAAGGCTTTCCATGTGCTTCCCTGCCGAGTGCAGCCTGCAGCCACACACCAGCACACAGACCCAGCCCTCCCTCAGGAACACTCACCGGTCTCGGGGTCACACTGGTGCTCACAGGGGTCCAGGAGGCGCCGGGCACACAGGTCCAGGGCCCAGGGCCCACTGGAGTTTTGCTGGGAGAAGAGGACAACCTGTGCTGGGTTCAGCCAGTCACTGGCATCCAGCTGGCTCCCCTCCAGCAGGATGAACCGGCTCCCTGCCACCGAGACAAGGGGAGTCAGTGACAGCCACCCACTGCTGCACCCTCCATCCCACAGTGGTGCCCTGCCTCCCATCCATCCTGTGATGTTTGCCCCCCAGGCTGTGATGGATCCCTCCAGCCCCTGCCCACTCACTCCTGAGAAAGTACCCTCTGTCCCATGACAGTCCCCTCTGTGCCACAAGGAATCCTCTGTCCTGTGCCCATCCTCTCTGCCATATGACAGCCCCCTCCATTCCATACACGATATCTCCTTCCATCCTGTGCCTTTCCCCTCTGTCCCACAGCAGCCACCTCCATCCCACACCCCTCACAGAGGTCTGATCCCTCTGTCCCACCATGTCCTTCGTCCCATCATGGTCCATTTAATCCCATATCCATTCCCTTCCAACCCACAATAATCTCCTTGGCCCTATGCCCATCCCCTCCACCCTGCAGCAAGCCCTGTGTCCCATAGCAACCATCTCCACCCTGTGTCTGTCTCTTCTGTCCTGTGCCTTGTCGCCCTGATTTTTTGAGATTTTCTGAGCCTTCTGACATTTACATTCTTGTAATGAACTTTCTCACACACTTTATGTATATAACTTATTGTTTTGCATTCTTTTATAGAGGAAGAGAAATTTGATGGACTGTTGGTTTGTCCAGTGTCATTGGAGAGGTGTCACCCTCCAACCCACTGTCACTTTTGGAAATATATAAATGTTAGAGTCAGAAATTAAAAACTCTTTTTTCACCTTGGAAAAGCTGCGTGTCCACATCGTGTTATTTCATGTCCTATAGTGACAGTGCCTATCCCCTCCACCCTGTACCACTCCAACCCTTGCTCCCAACATGGCACCCTCCATTTCACACCATTCCCCTCTGTCATGGACCCATGCCCTCCATCCCCCTCTGTCTTCCACCCATTCCCACCTCCATCCCATGCCCATTCCCTCCATCCCATGCCCATTCCCTCTGTCCCACACTGCTGCCCTCCATCCCCACCTGTCCCTCCTGCCTTGCACCCATCCTGTCCATCTCCTCCATCAATCCTCACAGAGTGGGGCAGGCAGGAATGGGTAAGAGCAGGGGTGCTGGAGTGGGTAAGAGCAGGGGGTGCTGGAATGGGTAAGAAAGAGCAGGGGGTGCTGGAGTGGGTAAGAGCAGGGGGTGCTGGAGTGGGTAAGGAAGAGCAGGGGGTGCTCACCGTCGGCGATCAGGTGCTCAGGGACATGGAGGGTGATCTTGACCACAAGGGGACAGTTCATGTGAGAGGAGCACACCAGGCTGATGACACAGCTCGTCACACTGATGAGGGTCAGAGTGGTCTTGTTCACAGGGCTTCGGGGGGACCCCACTGCAGAACACAGGAGCACAATCAGACCTGACACCTGCAGCACCCAGGAAAGTCTCTGGGTGCAGCCAGGGCAGCCCAGGATGCAGAGACCCTGCCCAGCCCCCTGGAAACCCAGCATCAATCAAATCAAATGGAATCATTATGCACTTTGAAGAACATGAAGCAGCCTTTGCCATGGGACTCTCCATCCCTCTCTCCCACTGTGACCAAGATCTTCCTGATTCCCCAGAGCCCTGGCTCTCCCACACCCTGCACTGCAGCATGCTGAGAGCTTTGCAGCAGCAGAGCTTTAAAGCAGAGCAGCAATATTAGGAACACAAAGGTAAATACAGTATCCTGGTTTTCCCCCCTCCTTCTTGGCACTTCACTGGGGTTAATTTTGTCATGACAACAGGCTCGTTGATGCTCTTGAAAAAGCAATAGAGAGCCCTAACTGCTCAGCGAATGCAGGTCTTTGACTTTTAATCTTTCAGCTGAAGAAGCTGAGCGGAAACAAACTGTCTGGAGACAAAGCCTGAATGTCTGTCTGTCTCTGAGCCTTCCAGCCTCAGCTGAAGGAGATGGCTCCCAGTCTTGCCACTCCCAGAAAAACAAGGCATCATCCAGCAAACGAGGCTCAACGAGGGAAAACAGACACTAACTTTCCTCTTGGGAAGAGGAAACCTCCCAGAGGGACAGAGCAGGGCAGTGGGGCAAGACTCCAGCCTGGGGAGCGAGGCTGTTCCCATCCTCTGGTGCACGTACAGCTGGCATGTGCACGGTGCTGAGCAGCAGCAGCATGGCAAGGCACGGGCCAGCCTTTGAAGCGTGTTACTCATTAATATACACCAGTGCCCGGCAGGAGCCTCCAGCAAAACATCAGAATACATTTCACCCTCTGCTGAGAAGCTCCACCGGAGAGCAGCAGCAGCCTGCTGCGAAGCAGGGACTGTGCCTGCCTGCAGCAGCTGGGGTTGCACTTGGGTTTCCATCTTTTTGCCAATGCAAAGTCGCCAAACCCAGAGAAGCAACAGCAAATGAGGCAAGAGGGGTGGCTGGTGACCCACCTCTGCACCTGCACCTGCACCTGCACCCACCCCTGCACCTGCACCCACCTCGGCTGCGCCTGCGGCTCCGCGAGGGGTCCGTGTAGAAGGTCAGCTGGGGATCGGTGTCTGCCTCTGTCCCTGAGTCCCCCTCAGGGTTGAGAAACGCTGAGCCAGCTGCAGGGGACACTGAGTGTAGTCATGGAGGGGTTGGCACCGTGCCACCCCAAACCTTGGCATCCTACAGCACCCTTCAGGGAAAGCCTTGCACTACAGAGCAGAAGCTCCATCTGCCAGGTGCAGCAGGGACAGCATCTGCTCCCCTTCCCAGCACACACAGCCAGACCCCCCCTCCACAGGATACCTTGCACCTTTTCCCCATGGCTGTGCCAGAATCCTGTAGTATTTACTGGGCCAAACACCACCTGCATCTTCACAACCATCCCAACATCACTCGCATCCTTGCAGGCACCACATTTCCCGTTTCTCCCCACCCAAACCCCCTTTCCCATGCTCTCTCCACGCTCTGGTCCCATCTCTCCATCCCAGGAGAGGGTGGGTGGGTGGAATGTGGGTGGGTGGGAGCCCAAGGCGCCTCACCCACCCCAGGGACTGCCCTACCTCGCGCCTTGTTGTTGATGCGCTTGCGCTGGCTGCTGGAGGTGTGGGACAGCAGCGTGGCCTGCTGGTGGTTGGAGTCCACGGGGCTGGTGGCAATGATGTTGTCCTTGTACTTGTTCATCAGGGACAGCTTGGCGTTGTCGCTCCCTGAGCAGGAAGGATTGAAGGCAAAATATTTAGACTTTTAAAAGGGAGTGAGGTGAGAGAAAGGTTTCCTTGGGTCCATCTCCAGATCACCCTGAGGTGATCAAGGTGCTGAAGCTAATGAGTTGAGCAGCCCCCAAGGCACACTGATGAGCAGCTGAAGTCCTGAAGAGGACTGGCACCTCCACCAAACTAGCCAAAAGCTGAGATTTAACACTGAGGGTCTCAGGGCACTTCCTCATATGCAGGAGAGCTTCAGGCACCACACCATGATCTTCCCAAACTGTTTGGGAAGGCCCTAGTTGGATGGCTCAGTTAGTGATATGACCAAAGAACAGGTTTGTTACAAGCCTCAAAGAATCCCTGCTGGTGATCAGAAGGCAGTGTTAACTCTGAATCATACTGATGGCAAGTAAAAAATTGCTACCAAAAACCTCACCTGAGGAAGACACCAGAAATCTGGGGACACAGAAGGGAAGTTTGGGGGTCACAATGGGATAGCATGGAGGGAGCCATGTCACCATGATATTTTCTGAAAAATCCCTTCACCAGGATTTCTTTTTCTGGGAAGCTGGGAAACTTAAGCTTCTCCATGCTTTGCTGCTCTGGAATGTGGTCTGGAGAATTGTTTACCCAGCATGTGAATTGTTTTTAATTAATGACCAATCACCATCAGGTGTGTTGGACTCTGAGGAATCAGTCACGAGCTTTCATGAGCATTCTTTTCTAGCCTTTTGTCTGTATCCTTTCTCTTTCTTTAGTATGGTTTTAGTATATAATTTTCTTTTAATATAATATCATAATATAATAAATCAGCCTTCTGAGAACTTGGAGTCAATTCTCATCTCTCACCTCATCCTGGGGACCTCACAACACAACAGGAGCCCCATTCTGGTTTTCTGTCAGGCCATGGAAACCACAAAGCAGGGACTGCTCTCCACTGGCTGCAGTGATGGAAGTGCCTTCAGGGCACCACCAACACCTCCCACCCAACGAAACCCCAGAGAAACAGGGAAAATGCTCCGGTGTTGCATTGTGATTTTAGGATTTACCTCATAACCTCGGATCCCTCCCTGATAATTCCCTGCCAGGTGTGTCAGTCACCTCTCCTTCCCCCTGCTGGGCACTGTCTGTCAATCCTGGCATTCCAGAAAGGCGTGGAGTGATTGGCAGAATTCAAAGGATGCCCTCTACCCCTGGGGGGACATTGGGCCATCCAGGTGTCCTTTGTCCCTTAAGTACTTCATTGGTAGTCCCCATATTCCTTCCCTCCCCTTCTCTCCCAGGTAAAAGGGCGAGTGAACCACGCAGTTCAGGGAGTTCTGCTGGAGGAGTTGCTGCATTCAGAGGCCTGTGGGCCAGAATAAAGCTCTGGATCCAAACCCTCCATCAGAACTGACTCCTTTCCTTCACTACTGCCTTAAAGCTTCTCCACAGAGGGAAACGTGAGGAGCAGCCCCTGTTATGGGGAGAAGCTCCATCCCAGCACCACCAGAGCTCCTGCAGGCCTGGACTTGTCCCCACTGCCCAGCTACAGCACCCAGCCAGCCAAAAGTGTCTGTGGGGTGAAACACCACACACCCAGCCAGCCAAAAGTGTCTGTGGGGTGAAATCACAACACATCCAGCCAGCCAAAAGTGTCTGTGGGTGAAACACCACACACCCAGCCAGGCAAAAGTGTCTCTGGGGTGAAACACCACACACCCAGCCGGCCAAAAGTGTCTGTGGGGTGAAACACCACACACCCAGCCAGCCAAAAGTGTCTGTGGGGTGAAACACCACACACCCAGCTGGCCAAGGGTGTCTGTGGGGTGAAACACCACAGTTGCAGCTATTTGGCTCAGCAGCAAGAGCCAGACAAGCTCAGGCACGTCCCGTCCGGCTATATTGGTAATTATTCCAAAACACACGTGTGGAACCGGGGGAGAACACAAGCCGGAAAGGATCCATCTCCGCCCAAGCCCACCTGGAGTGAGGTCCATGCTGGCCTTCTCGTTGCAGCCCTGCAGCGAGTCCAGCGTGCGGGTGACCTGGCTGGCGAAGTCCTCGCCGCCGTTCATGCACTCGCGCTGCAGGTGGTGCCGCAGGTCGGTGATGTCGTACTCGTAGCCGTCCAGGATGGGCGTCTCGCGGATGCTGAGCGTGCCGCTGGAGTTGTGGCCCTGCACGCGCTGGGCGTTGCGCAGGCTCTCCCGCCCGTGGCCCCCGATCAGCACCGATGGGATGTAGTGGATCTCGTTGGCGGCCTCGGCGCTGGCGCTCTTCTGGGGCTGCGGCACGCGGCGCCGCTTGCACCAGCGCCGGCGGGTGTACAGGATCATCACCAGGCACAGGATGGACAGCAGCAGGGCGATCATCCCTCCCTGCGGGCACACACACACCGAGCAGCCTCAGCCAGGTGTCCTCGGGAGCTCTGCTGTTAATTGCAGCCCCGAGATAAGTGAAAAGTCTCTGTTTCGGCCCGTGCATCCAAAGAGTGAGCTGGAGTTCTTCAGTTTTCTGTCTCAGAGCTGTTTAATGTATCTTATCTATAAAATTTTCCTCCTGCCCAGCCGAGGTCCGCTCAGCAGCACTCTTACCACCCTGTCTTTTTATACTACAAACTACCTATAACATATTTACAATTACTTCCCAATACTATCACCTATGTTAGACTGTGAACTTCTATTCTAAACCAATGCCAAAGTGCCAGCATCACAGCAGAAGATGGAGGGAGAGAAGAACAAGAAGAAAGACTAGACACGCCCAAGTCCCTCCATCTTGTCCCCAAAACTCCCATTCTAAAAATCCTAAAATTTGCCTTTTCACCCGGTGATAATTTTATTATTACACTATTTAAACTTCTGTGACTTTCAGGTCCTCATACAAAGCTGGTCATTTGTTTCATGGGTCATAATCAAATCTCCAGGTGTTCTGGGCTGCACGCCAGGGTCTCTGAGCCCCCCAGTAGGGGCCCCGGCAACTCTGGACACCCAGAGGGATGTACTGAGTTCTGACAAGGTGTCACCCTGATTTTTTGAGATTTTCTAAGCCTTCTGATGTTTACATTCTTGTAATGAACTTTCTCGCACACTTTATGTAAATAACTTATGTTTTGCATTCTTTTATGGAAGAGTGTGGGGACCCAGGCATCCCTCTGGCTGTCCTGAGCAGCCAAGACCCCTGCCAGGGCTCTCAGAGACCCTGGCACAGAGCCCAGAAATGCCTGTGGGTTTGATCATGACCCGTGGAGCAAGTTACCAACTTTAGATAAAGATCAGCAAGCCATGACAAATTAAGTAGAATGATAGTGAATTTATCACAAGGTGAAAAAGTAGATTTTGGGGTTTCTAGAATGGAGGTTCAGGGGGGCAAGATGGAGGAATCTGGGCGTGTCCAGCCTTTCTCCTTTTTCTTCTTCTTGGCCTCCATCTTCTGCTGTGATGTTGGCACTCACAGATTGGTTTAGAGTAGAAGCTCAGTGTCTAACATAGGTGATAGGTATTGGAAAGTAATTGTAAACATTGAATACATAGTTTTTAGTATAAAGACATAACACCACCCCTAGGGCAGGCAGAGTGCCTGGAACTGTCCTGCTGAGCGGACCTCAGCTGGACAGGAGAAAGAATTTTATAGATAAGATACAATAAACAACCTTGGGACCGAGAAATGAAGAGCCCTGACTCCTTCTTCAAGCGCCGGGCTGGGAAAAGAGACTTTCTAACTTTTCACTCTGACAAGCTAAAGATCCCGGCAGAAGAGGAGAAATTTGATGGACTGTTGGTTAGTCCAGTGTCACTGGAGAGGTGGCACCTTCACCCTCCAATCCACTGTCACCTTTGGAAAACTATAAATGTTAGGGTCAGAAAATAAATTTCCCTTTTCTTCGCCTCGAGAGCAGCGGTGTGTGCGCTCGTGTTGTTTCGTGTCCTATAGTGACAGCCAGGGGCTGGCATCCACCATCCCCTGGGACTCAAACACCCCAGGGATGCTCCAGGGTGGAAAGGAGAGCCCATCACCAAGAGTCTGCTGGCACCAGGAGCACCCAGTGCTGGCCTGGAGCCTGCCCTGGGCTGGACCAGTGTTGAAGTTGCCAGCGAGGCATGAAAAAGCAGCATTTAAAGCAAAGCATGTTTTGTTTCACTCTCCTGCCTCTGAAAACAGAGATCAGCTTTATTCCAGGCAAATGCTCCTACGGGCAACTTTTTCTGACCCATTTCCAACCAGTTTCAGTGCTGTCACTCTCAATCTCGGGAGATGTTCCCAGGGTATCCAGCAGAAATTGCAGCACAGATTAAAAGAGATCAAAGCTTGAGACAGGCAGATGACTGAAGTGTTGTTTGGGGAGCATGTTTGGGGAAAGAGGCTGAAAAAGCTCCTGTCCCACAGGCATGGACCCCAAAACTGCACCTGGCCCTGCCACCCTGCCACTGTCCCCAAGATCACCCTCCTGCAAGTCATCACAGATGGAGGGCGGTGAGATGAAAGCCCCAAACTGGCCCTTTATGCACAATCTGCCAAGAATAATAACAATAATAACAAGAAAAAGCATGTGGAGCCAGTTAAGAGCTCAGAGCCCATCCACAGCTCCGGTCTCCCTCCTCTTTTCTATGCAACAGGTGATCTTGAGAAAATAAAATAATAGTAATAATCCGCTCCATTAGGATAAAACATTAAGGGAATTATTGAATGAGAGGCAGGAGAGGCAGCTGGAAAAGGAAGTTTAATGGCCATTACAGTTTAACCCACTTTCATTTCCAGAATAATGGAGCTGTGATGCACTATCCCACCCTCCTTTTCAACTTTCTTTAGAAACAAAAAAAAACCAAAAAAACCACCAACAACACAAACTCCAAACAAAAAAAAAAAACCAAACAAAACAAAACAAAAAACAAACAAACAAAAAAAAAAAACCACAAACCAAAAAAAACCAAAAAAAAAAAAAAAGAAAGAGGAACCAAACTCAGTGATTCAGGAGACCAGCAGTCCTGCAGAGGTCAGGGGTCTGGCTGGCACCTTTCTGGACAGGGACTCTACAGCCAGGAAGTCAGAAAATCTTGCTAGGGCTGAAAACTGGCCCTGGATCATAGAAACCACAGAATCCTACAATGGTTTTGATTAGTAGGGACCTTAAAATCACCTCATTCCAACGCCCTTGCCAAAAGCAGGGATGAGCTCTGTCCAACCTGGCCTTGAACACTTCCAGAGATGGGGCAGCCACAGCTTCTCCAGGCACCCTGTGCCAGGGCCTCAGCACTCACAGGGAAGAATTTCTTCCCACTATCTAATCTCTGTATCAGTCTGATTCCATGTCTGCATGCCTCTGTATAAAGTGCCTGGCACAGTCATGCAGGATTTTTAGTGGCCAAGTGGGAGCCTAATTCTGTATCATGCTCCAGTCCCTATGAGTTCCTGTGGTCCATAAATTAGTGGGGATTATCCCCATCCCCACCAGGGGTGGCCTCCTCTGTCATGGCTCTCCATCACCCTAGAGAAAGCCCACCTGCAGGTGGCATGACAAGCAGGTAGGAGGAATTCCAGGGCGTTCCTGGCTTTCCTTCACCCTCTGTATGCACATGAAATCCCCCAAACACCAGCAAGCTCTGCCATACACCTGTGCAGGTGAACAGGAGAGACCAAGCTGGAGCTCAAACCTGGTGGATGCTCATTTTTTTCAGGCAGTGGCCGTGGGTTCACAAAAGAGACTTGTTATTTCATTGAAAATGAGTTTCTTCTGCCCCAGTGGTCTGAGAGCTCAAATTATCCCTGAGAAAAGCAGCCTGTGGACTCTTGAGATTTCCAGAGGCTCTGAGAGGAGGATGAAAGCCAGAACTGAAGTCTCCCCTACCTACTGCCCATTGGAGAGGTCAGACCACCACCTCATAGCCCCTTTTTTCCCTGCACAGGAGCACTGAAATCCCATTGTGCCTTATTCCCCCAGCCCAGCATCCATGTGAGTGCTGGGAGAGGAGCCCTGTCTGGGATGGGTGTGGGAGTGCTCCTCACCCAGTCCACAAGCAGACCTTCGTCACGATGGATACAATCCCTCATTCACACCTGTCACAGACATCTTTTATGGAAAATCCTTTCCTTAGGATTTTTTTCTCCTGAGAAGCTGAGAGGCCTCAGGAACAAAATGTAAACAATGGTTATCTGCTGCTGTGGAATGCAACAGGTGCATCTGGGATTGGTCTCATGTGGTTGTTTCTAATTAATGGCCAATCACAGCCCAGCTGGCTCGGACTCTCTGTCCAAGACACAAGCCTTTGTTATCATTCTTTCTTTTTTCTATTCTTAGCCAGCCTTCTGATGAAATCCTTTCTTCTATTCTTTTAGTATAGTTTTAATATAATATATATCATAAAATAATAAATCAAGCCTTCTGAAACATGGAGTCATCCTCGTCTCTTCCCTCATCCTCAGACCCCTCTGAACACCGTCACTCACGCCTCTTCCCTTGGCAACCACACAGCAAAGAAAGAAAATCAGCCTTGAGAACCCCACGTGGTCCTGACTCCTGGCACAAAAGCCAGCCTCTGTTTGTCAGGAAGCAGGGATGCTGTCGGAGCAGAGCTGAGAGTGATGGGGAAAAAAGGGCAGAGGAGGACTCAAGCTGCATTTGCACATTTTGGGATGACAGCCGTGAGTTGCAGACATCCTTTTCATCAGCTCCATAACAAACCTTCAGCCAGGCACTTCTGCCTTGATCTTGGCTTACAGCAGTGCTCAAGAAGATCAAGACCACAGCAGGGCCAGCCTCTCCAGAGGTGATGCACCATCTCAGGAGCAGCTGGGAGCAGACAGGAAAATTGAGATAATGGTGCAAGATGTTTTGGGGAGTGGCTTTGCAAACAATTTTTTTTTCCCTCGGACTAATCAAGCACAAATGATGGAGGAGAAACCTGGCCTGGGGCTGCAATCTGGAAGAGCAATTGAAGCTCTTATTAGGGTAGACACCACTGAACAGCCTGTTTGCAGCCTCTGCAACACATTGTCTCTGGCTAATTACCTTCCAGTGGCACAAAAATTGTAGGATTCTTCAAGTTTTTTCCAACACGACAAAAAAAAACCCCAAACAATCAACAAACACAACACAGATCTTCCCCCAACCTACAGATCTCTCCTTTTTCTGCCTTCCCCTGTGTAGCTGGGTGGAGTATTGCTGTGTGACCCCCACACATGAAACCATGGCCAGGGGGCTGCCAGGCTGATAAAAGTGGTGGTGACAGTGCTGGTGGCACTGTGACACAGGCTGTGCACCAGGGCAGAGGGCAGCAGGCACCCTGCACTGGCAAAGGGCTCCTGACGAGTCAGTGGGAATTAACCCTGGGTTAACGTGGCTGAGACCTTCAAAGCACAGAACCCCTGGGGATAAAGGCACCCCACAAATGTGTTTTCAAAGTGATGCAAACTAAGGGAGAGCTCTGAAGCAGCCTGTGAAGGCACTTAGCATTCAACACTCACAGAGGTGCCCAGGGCAGGTGGACACATCCTAGGGCAGCTGGAGCCAGATGGGGAAATAAATTCCTTTTCAACAGTCACTATATTTTCTACAGGCTTCTGGACAGCTGAAGAGGGGCTGCATTCCCATCACATACTGTGGAAACCCAGGGCACTGGGAATATTTCCCTGTCTGCTCTGGGGTGCCCTGACCCCCAGGGCAGCACTGACTTTGACCCTTATCCATGGAGAAAGTTTCCTAAACTCCAGAATAGACTGGAATCCACAAAAGTGTGAAATAGATTATAGAGAGTAGTGTGGGTGTATCACTTGGTGAGAAATTTAGGTTTGGGGATTTTTAGTACGTTGTGGATGGAAATAAGATGGAGGGCACAGGGTGTCATCCTGGGCTTCTTCTTCATGCTTAGTCTTCTTCATGGGTTTGGGTGGCAATTTGCAATTTTTGCAATTGGGCAGAAAAGTCTGCATTGGGGGCTCTTTGGGATCAATTATTGGGTTAAAAGGGAAAATAATCCAGGTGTCAGCTCTTAATTGGATAGATTAGTCTTAAAAGACCTTGTAACAAGAGATTGTTGGCCATTTTGTGCCTTGCTGCTAAACTCACTGCAATGAGACTGTTTTACTGATAAAAAATAATAAACCCCTGAGTCCAAACATTAATTACTGTCTCAAGTGCTTTCAATCCAGACCCAGAGAAATCAACAACCAGTACCCCGGGAGCTGGGCCCCCCACAACCTACCATGACAGAGATGTGGAGGATCCTCAGCTCCTCCTCGGCCGACTCGGTCTGGGGCTCCTCGGTGGGGTCGAAGCCGGGCAGGTTGGGGGCCCCGTCCTGGTGGTGGATGTGGAAGAGCAAGGTGCCATTCTCCAGCCACTGCTGCCGCCAGCGCACCAGGGGGATGTCATCCGTGTTGCCTGAGATCTCTGCAAGAGCAAAGCTGGTCAAGGGGGGGGTGTGGAGCAGAGGGCTCGTGGGAGATGCTCAGCCCTTCCCAAAAAAATGGCTGGAGGGACCAAAGGATGCACAGCCTCTAGTCATCGGTGTTGGAATTCAGGACATCCCATTCTGAACCCCGGCCACGGGGACTCAGGGACCTTGGCACAGAGCCCAAGACCCCTGTGACTTTGATTATGACCCATGGAAAAAATTACCAACCTTATATGAGGATCTGCAAGCCACGAAAGTCTAAGTAGAATAATAATTAGTTTGTCATGGGGTGAAAAATACATTTTTTGAGGTTTTTAGAAGAGGGGTTCAGGAGGCAAGATGGAGGAATCTGGGCGCATCCAGCCTTTCTCCTTCTTCTTCTTCTTGGCCTCCATCTTCTGCTGTGATGTTGGCACTTTCAGATTGGTTTAGAGTAGAAGCTCACTGATGGGTATTTGGAAGTTATTGTAAATATTGTACACATGGTGTTTACTATAAAAAGATAACACCACCCTGAGGGCAGGCAGAGTGCCTGTGTCTGACCTGCTGAACGGACCTTGGCAGGCCAGAGAAAGAATTTTATAGATAAGAAACAATAAACAACCTTGAGAGCAAGAATAGAAGAATTCTGACTCCTTCAACCACTGGGCTGCGAAAAGAGACTTTAACATATTTCAGGGTCACTGTGACCAGCAGAAGTCCTAAGAATTTCCTGCCAGCACCATGGATGCCCCTACATAAATCACAACCTGAAGGGCTAAAGGGGAGTAAAGCCATATATCTGGCTATAATCCAGATGTGGGCTCTCCAAAACTCCAGCTGTGGTGCAGGGAGATAGCACTGACTGACAGCAGTAACCCAGAAGTCTCCTTCCAGCTCTAGTTTGGGCAGGTTTCACCCACACAGCTTCAGAAATTGGGAGCACAGGATACAGGACAACTTCCCAGCAGCATCATGGGATCACTGGGAGCACATCACAAATTATTGCAGACAAAATATTTACTGTCCTTTGTGAGCAGTGAAATGTGAACCTGAGGTTTTCAGTTTTCAAACATTTTCTATAGCTCTCCCCCCAGGACTCAGCCCAGAGACCTACAGAGGTGCCTGCAGCTTCTGCCCAAGAAACCCAATTTTCCCTAAGAACCTTTAATTCCAGAGTTTGGGGCAGTGAGACACATGGACAAAGATGGGCTGTCATGGAAGTAGAGGACACCTAGGCAGGGACACCACACATGCTCCAGGACACTAAATGCCAAATCAAACCTAATTCACCTGGCTGGCTCTGAAATTTCAGGGACATCCTACAGCTGGGTCTCAGCCAAAGACAGGTAACACCAGCACCTGTCCCTAGGAGAAAGGGGCACTGTTTTAATCACTGTGTCCCCCTCAGACCAGATCACCTTGATCACCATCTCACACCACCTCGATCTCAGCCATCAGCTTGACATTTGCCTGTTAGCTATTTTTTGTGAAAATAGCAGATTTTGTTGGGGTGACCAGGAAAAACACGATCAGCTTCCCACTGAGGCACAGCTTTCCCTCCTGTATCTGCCCCATTGCTGGCAATGGGAGGGCACTCCTCTCACTTTGCAAATTATCATCTTTATTTTGCTTGTTTCACGCTGCCTTCAGATGAAAACTGGAATTCAATTACAGCGCCGAAAAACAACGTTTTAAATTTGCTGCTAATTAATTTCATTAGGCTGCCTTAAGTGAGCTGGCTGCCAGGGGAGGTGGGGGCAAAAATCTGCATGGGGAACCAGGTTCATCCTCCCAAACTGATTTGATTAATCAAAAGAACCATCAGCCCCGGCGAGTGAGCTGGCAGAGTGCTTGTGCTCAGCACGGGCTGAGTTTCTGGCGGGGATCAGAGCACTTGGAGTGTCCCCAGCACAGGGATGCTGAGCACCCCACCAGGCTGGGGGGAAGCAAAACCCAGAGTTAAGTCACCAGGAAGCCAGAAGCACTTTTGGAATTCCCCCTAGCTGCTGAGCTGTGTGTTCAGGGACACAGATCCCCTTTGAAAAGCTGGTCCTGGGAGCCAGGAGGATTTGGAGCAGCAGATCTCCCCTTCTCCCACATGGTCTTTATTCATGGACTGAGAGGGGAAATCAAGCTTGCCTGCTTTCCCAGCTCCCCACGGCTTCTCAACTTCGTATGAACCAGCTCAAAAGGAGGAAAACACTCTCCCTGCACCTGCCTGCTAACGTGAAATTATGGGTAATTAAGGCAAGAACTTTCCCGCACAGCGGGAACTCAACATACTGACATTTGGAAAAAATGTAAATACCAGCATTTGCTCCATTGTAAAGAGTGAAAATAATAGATACTAAGTATGTGACATTGTGACATTTAGAAAGCTAGAGTAAGAGATGTTTTCCCCCTGATCTGACATATCACTGTAAAAGCAGCACCCTTCAGCTCATTAATATTTGAGAAGAAATCCTTGATGGAAGTTATTTAAATGATTAATAGATTATAGTAAATTTAAGCCTTAAAATAGGTTGTCATAATTTCAAATTTATTTAAACAGGCTTATTTTTTTAAAAGAAAAATATATTTCAATAAAAAATGGGTTTTTGTTTTAGAAGAGCACAATCCAGCCACAGAGCCTGAGCAGGTTTTCCTCTTTCACCAGACATCAGGATGTGACCCTGCAGCTGCATTGCACACAGGTCAGAAGTGCAAGAGACAAAGGAGAACACCCCAGAAACCAATTGCCATCACCCCAAACTGGGAGGCTATGGGCCCTCCACCACACTGCAGCACAAGGCTGCTCCACCACCACCTCTGCTCCTGCCCTGGCAGAGGCTCTTGAGGCACTGCCTGGGTGAGAGAGCTTCAGCCTTGGACCTTCTCCTCCTTTCCTCAAGTGTCTTAGCAACACGTCAGCTGCCTCTATCCTACTCCATTTCTCCATGAAAATTTTGCACATATGAATGTTTTCCTGCATCTGTGAAGCTCTCTTGGAGTTTGGCTTAAGCAAGACCAAGACAAGATCAAGACCAAGCTTCTTCCCTAACATAGCATCTCTTTACTCTCTCTTCTCCCAGTCCAACAGATTTCACTCTTCCCTTTGTCTTGCTCTCCAAGCAGACATCTCCCCACCTGGTGGGATGCTACAGTGACCCATGTAGCCAACTGGGATGATTTATCTGGATCTTGTAGGGTGTCAGCTCTGCTACAGAGCTGGCAGGTGCCAACCCTGCTGAGCAGTTTGTACACGGGGGCCAGGATGTCCCAGAGGAGGCAGAAAAGTGGGCAGAAAGGCAAAAAAAAAATGTGGAGGGAGAAGATAATTTCAAGTTCAAAGTTTGAAAGATATTGATGAAAAGCCTGGTCCCTGTATGGCTTTCATTAAGGCCTTGGATAGGAAGCCATTAGCACTAGTATTAACTTCTTGCACCTCTGTTAAAAAATAGCCTGTCTGAGTCAGAGGTTAATAACAGTAGGAGGCCACTAATTAGGCTGTGCCACATTCACCTGGTATCAAACGTGGCCCAGGTCCTTCATATCTGCAGGAGCAGCAGCCTCCAAAGGCCCCAGCTGCTGCTTTTAACATCAGGGCCCTGCCTGCTCCCCTCCCAGACCATCTGCAGTGGGGACAGAAAGGTTCCACAGGAGCAATTTGAGGAGAGGACAAAAAACCAGACTGAAGGTGCTGGAGCTGTGTGGATTTATACCTGCTTTGTTCTTCATTATCCAAACAGCCTCATTTCCCTTGGGACAGCTGTCCCACACAAAGCAAACCCAGTCCTTCTGGAGGCAGCACCTCTGCATGTCCTGGTTTTGGGACCTCTGTCACAGCCCAGTTCTGCACGTGAGCTGGTGCAACATCAGAACCATGGCCCATGAGCCTGGTGCTGACCTGGACCTCCTCCCATGTCCTCATCACCCCAATGAGACCTGGCATGGTGGCACACAAGGAGAGCAACTCGCCTTAAAAACTCACATCGGCATTTTGAGGGAAAAAACCACCCAGCAAAACAATTTTCCTCTCCATTTGGAAGCGTTTTGCACTAATAGATGCCTCCAATAAGTCAAATGAACTCTGCCATAATGCTGGTCTCCACAGACCCATTTCAGAGAGCCGAGCCCAGATTTTGACTTGGACTTGTATTTCCTCGTTAACATTTAAACCTGCCTTATTTTCCAGCCAGAACCTGACTGTGGTTTAATTTAAGCTCCCCATTAGCTAAGGCTTTTGCTCCACACCTAAACCACACACATCCTTTAAAGGGCTTGAACTCAGCTAAATCAAGCCTTGCACTCCTCCCAGGGTCTCCAATGCCTGAAGTGACTCAGGGGACCTTCCCACCATGAGTCACTTGCTCTCTCTGCTGGGACCTCAGGCCTTGATTTCTATCAATTCACATGTCAAAAATGCTTATCTTGATACTTAACTCATTTATACTTCCAGGGTTTCAGTGACAGATAATTCATGGGATAATATCAATGTTTTTATGGACCTGCTTTAAAAATTCACATTCATCACTGACTATCCATATTTCATTTGCATTTTTTCCTGTCTCCAGTCTCAGGTAGCAAAACCAGCTCATTCTGCAGGTCATTCTGCCTTTTCAAGGCAATCCAGCTTTTCCATACCAGCAAACACAAACCTCAGTGTATATATTAAGAACCTGCTTCATGGGAGAGGGCCCCTGGGGGGAAAATCTCCAAAAGACTCATAGATATGGGAGAACATGAAGGTTTGAGGAAGAGGCGGTGCTGATCTCTCAGGTTAGGTCAGAGAGATCACCCCACCAGGATGCCTGTGCCTGAGGCTGGTACACGTGAAGCCATGAGGTGCCTGCCCCAGCCTGGCTGACAGCTAGCCAGGTTTCTCCTTGGAATGCAGGGTGCCTTTGCTTTTGGGAAGGTCACCAGGGAGTTACATTTCAAAGCTGTAGCCACGCTTTAGCCTTGAACTGGGATTTCTGTCCCAAATATGCCAGAGCCCGAACCCCTCCCTTCCTTCAACAACAAACCCTCCATC